GTTTAATGTTTGGAGAACATTTTAAAAGCTGAATGGTGTTTCTAGCTGAAAGTATGCTAAAATAGTTAAAGTTCAAGGATGAAGTTTTAGCTGAATTAAGCTGAAATCTGAGAATTCTACATACATTTCAATGGGACAAAAAAAACGCAGAAGCATTCCCACTTGACGACTGTTGTTCCCCTTAAATTCTTTTATTGGGCTTTTAGACTGTTGGAGGTTTAACTGAAGGTTGGTTTTATTTGTTTGGGGATTGACTTTATCCGATTAAATCCATCATGAGGTAACTTTATTGGTTTCCCAATAAAGTGAGCATTAAATAGAAGAAAAGGGATTCTGAACCGAATTTGGTTCGTTTTCTTTGTGTACTTTTGCATACAGGTAAAAATTCAGCAGAAAAAAAAAGAAAACAATAATGACAAGCCCAATAATGACTTTAAATCTTGCTCTAATTACCATGTCAGGGTCACCTTTTCAATATCACACAGTGTGGATAAAAGTTCACAAGACTTCAAGCATTCATCTGCTTACAATTCTTGATTTTCTGTCATGTAACTTTACCTCCAACTTGTTTATCACTTCCTTCACATTTGTTCTTCTGTTCAACAATAGCCAGACCAAATTATTAATCAGCACACAGACCTAAGATTTTTTTTTAGCTTAGTTTAAAGTTTAATTTAATTTATTTTAACATTAATATTTAATGTAGACAATTTTGTAATTGGAGACTTTCTTCTCCACTACAGATGTGTCAGGATTGGAGGTTGTTTTTTTTGTTTTTTTTCCCAAATTCCATAACATAGGCTAACCCTTAATTCAAACAGGTTATGTCATTCAGGAGTTTCACTCTCCAAAGCAAATAGAACTTATTCTAGTCATGCAGCAATTCCCACTGGCTCATGTTGCTGCAGCATGACACATAGCCCTCCTCCTGAGGGTTAGGTTTATTTTTTTATTTATTTTGACGGACAGCAGAGCAAAATGTTTCATCTTTATGGAACTGATGAGCCTAACAGGAATTCATACACAGGAAGAGTAAAAATGACTTGGTACATTTAAATACAAGAGGACTGTTTGGATGCATGAACGGGTCCTGCATGCATCCAGTGTGGATTGCTGGCAGGCACACTTGCAATGGACAATAGAGCAGGCATGGACCATAGCCTGTGTGAAGTGGGGGTAAGTCACTTAGACTCTGTCATTCTTTCATTTTGGCATCACAAACGGAAGCTGTTCCAGTCAATGTAAAATTTCACGTTGGCCTCGTGGTGCTGCAGATGATTTAAAGCCCTTCTCAGGCCTCTGTAAATGATAAAAATCAAGACTATTCTTTTGACAGAGCAAATTTCTTACTTCTCTAAAGGCCTGATTCAGATAGGAACTTAGAGATGAAGAGATAAGAAAGGAGAATGGACAAGATGGCGGGAGTCATTGGACTAGATGCTGAATTAATGCTGCTTATCATGTTAACGTAGCATGTCTATGTCCAGTTGCTTTTGCTGTTTTTGGATGTTTTTGGACGTGTTGTAATCAGTATGGATTACAACATGGCACAATTGGACACCGAGGACGGAGCAGAAACAGAGAGTGGTCAGCGTACAGTATATTAGGGATGGGTTCAAAATAGATCACTCCTACAATGTTAGACAAACTGGCAGCACTAAAGAATCCTGCCACTGATTTTTAGATATGGCTTTTTAGGTGATTGGAAACAGGTGCAGAGCAGCAGATCCAGTAGCAGTGGAAAATGGTGGAGAGGGAGAAGAAACGTCACAAGCAGCCCAACAAGCCTAAGATCATGACATAGGGTGAACATGTAGACATGCAGAATCTTCAGTTCACATCCAATGATATGTGAGAAGTCATGTTCACCAGCAATAGTTCTTTAACTGTTTAAAAAAATGTAGATCAATGGTTTTCAGCAAAAATCATTTCCACAAAAATGAAAAAAAACAGCCTCTAAAAAGGACCTTGATTATATCCATTAATGAAAAAGCACCTTTGATCTATTCAATCACACTTAAACTACTTTGGTGTTGGCCAGCATCACATAGACACTATCTCTATAGTCAAGCATGGTGATGCCAGCATAATGAAATGGGCAAGTCTGATTTAAGATTTTTTTTTCCAGTGCTCCAAATACTGCTTTGATGAAAAAAGTGAAATAAAGGCAGATGACTTGTCGAAGCTGCAAATGTGTCTTTTCTTTTTTTGTGAGCAAAGTAGATTCTGTGATGTACTAACCAGCAAAAATAAGTTATGAGCTCATAGAATTTTTGTTTTGCAGTAACTGTGCCACCCCCAGGGGATTGGTTGAAGTCAATAAAGTTAAAAAATGGAGGAATTTAGTCGTGTGTAAGGCATGCTGCTTGATAGAACAATAGGTCATATGCAGGCAGAGGTAAATATTTTATTAAAACAAAAGTTTGTCCCCATAAACTGCAATTAAAATTAAAACTTTTGACAGATCAGTCACGTTGCTGCGAGCCACACAGGAAAAGGAGACAATTTGCTTGCGGCTTGAGATCGTTGCTTTGGCTGTACAATAATCAACAGACAAAAACAGATTGGTCAATACATCTAAAAAACCAATCTATATTGATAAAAGGAAAAACTAATTTGGTCACTTTAACCACAGTATTATTTAATAAATGTAACAACATTGAAAATCAAGGCCAGGGATTGTCTAGAGAGAAACTCCTGCACCAACACCACTGTCTCCAGAATTTAATCCTAGTTAATACTAATGTTAAACCAAGACTTACGCCAATTACACAATTATAATTACATTACAATTATCATTGTAATTGTTCTCTAGGTCCATAACTATTACATACTACAGGTTATTGTATCCAAACAGCCAGATTGATCAACTATTTAAGACCATTTCATTGGTTGTTTGGTTGACCAATAGCTTGGTCAGTTTTTGACCAACATGTTGGTTAATTCAATTCAAAATTGATTTAACCAACTAGATTGCTTACTTTTCCAACAAATACATTCTTAAAGGGCATGCTGTGTGGCACTCAGGTGAGCATCTAAAAAATCAACAGTGACTAAAAGATTGCAGCAATTACTCAAATTACTTAATCCCCAGCTATGCTGGTGCTGAAACGGGCCAATAAAAGGATGGAAACTGCTTTACTGATTTTCTTCTCTTACCTCAAATCAACTGATAACACATTCTTTCTTCTGCTCTTGCTAACAAGATAATTAGATCCCAAATAAATGTATCGTTTTGTTTTTTGGGGGAAACTCAGTCTCTGACAGTTTCAGTTAAGCCGGGCTTACACTGCATGATTTTTTTGCCATTCGGGCCGATTCTCCAGTTGTCGAGAACTTTTCGATGGGGCCGACTTTCAGCCTGATTGTACGTTGTGTAGTGTGCACGGGGTAACGAGGGGTGATCAGCCTTTCATGACCACCTCCTGATTAGGAATCATGAGTTCGGGAGAAAATCAAACATGTTTGAAATACAGTCGGCCGTCGTAAGCCCGTCTATCACCAACATAGGCCAATCAGCTAACCAGTATATTTGCCCCTTCCCAAAATTACTTCAACGGAAGGTTTCCAGATGGATATGCGGAGCAAATCCATCTGGCGGAGTCAGGTTAGACCATAGTAGCCATGTTTGCTCAGCCATGTCTTTTTCCAAATAGGTCGTCGCCTTTCTTCTTAGTGCTTTCAGCACAAAATTGCACAAATTGCCAAGGCAGCGCGTTTCTCTCCAGTGAGCTTCATATTCCTCTTCTGCTTTGGCTTCCAGAAAGACGAGTCAGAGTAGCACCATCTCACCGCGGAGCTGAGCCCGATGTGGTTTTTAGATGTACACTGTGAGCAGGTAGATCGCATTAGAGCATTGGATCGCACAGTGTGAGAACAGGCATCGCGAGATTTGAACTCACACTGTACGACGAAATCCTGCGTTTTCGTCGTACAGTGTGAGCTGTAGCTGAAACACTGAACGATTGAAAAAAATCGTACAGTGTAAGTCAGGCTTTATGGCACAAGCTGACAGTATTGTATGATGACTTAAAGGGATTTAATGCATGCAATAGTCACCTGTCCTCGAGCAGCAGTAAAATCGGTTCCTCACCACTGATCCCAACCAATAAACCCCCAGACACTGCTAGTATAGAAGATACCAACAAGATTTTTTTTTTCTGTTTGTTTACAGACAGCATAAACCAGCATTCCTAAAATGTGGAAAGTGCTTACCTGCTAACTTCAAAGTGAGCTATTCCACAAGAATTAATTTACATTCATAATAATAATTTATTACAATACATTTACTTTCTCTCCTGCATCTGAATTTGGAGATCATTGGAATGATGTTTTCCTTTTCATCTATTCTAAAAGGGTAACCCTCCATCCATCATTGAAGGACATACCATGGTAATATTATTACCATCAAATGTCCAAAGGCGGGGAAATGGTCTAATCATTTCCTCCCGAGTGCCCCTGAAAGAGGAGCCAGCGGCCGCTGGGTGGGGTGTTAGGACCCCGCCTGATGGGCTGTTTTGCGGGAGGCGAGGAAGGGTAGAACATCCGGATCAGCCCGCGATGGTACAGGATGTGTGTGCTTAACTGCACTGACCCAAACAAAGCGGAGAAGAAAGCCTTTAATGCCCACAGTAAGCCGCTTCATTCAACAGCGCTGCCCAGACGCACAGCTCTGCGGAGTAGAAATTACGCACGGAGCGGCTGCTCCGTGGCAGCCGTTCTGGTGCTGAAATTGGGCCAATAAATGGATGGAATGTCCTTATTGATTTTTTTTTTCTTACCTCAAATAAACTGATAACACATACCTTCTTCTGCCCTTGATAACAAGATAATTTGTCCACAAATAAACGTGTTGTTTTGTTTTTTTGGGGGGGAGGAAACTCAATCTCTCTTTCCGTCCTTTCTCTCTCTCCCTCTCTCTCTTTCTGTGCGTGTGTTCACGCGTCTGTGGGTGTGTTAAGAAGAGGAATACCCAGCTGGTCCCCCAAGCCCTATAATACTAAGCACAACATGCTTTACCTTCAATGTAAGCTGAGACAGAGGAGTGCTGAAGTGCTGCAGAGCTGAGGCCAGGAGTGTTTTCAGCGGAGGCGCAGCCCTGCCGCATCTGTTTAATCACACCTTTTGGCATTTAGTGCAGTTTTTAAATCCACTGACTATTGCTCAGATCAAAAGCCCTTAAAAACTTGGATGACGCGGTGATGATAGACAATTTTGGACTCCCCGGTTGATGGTATGCGTTTTGGGGAATAGGGGACACTGCTGGACCAGTTAAGTTTTCAACAGCTGTTATTTTTTCCCTTCTTCTATCCTGACTTTTCATCAGTTATGGCTCTTTACTCACGGTTTATGCTCGTCTTGCTTTATGGATGGAGTTATTTGTGCGTTGGATTCTGTGCGATGTTGAAAACGAACAATTTCCCCGAGAGGCGAAAGATGGATTTTACGCACTCGGTGGATAAACAGTTTACCGCCGAGGATGAACGAGACGCACATTTGGAGGATACAATGACGGAGCACATGCAGATGCTTTACGCCAAATACAACCGGGCCGGGTTTCCTTTCAGGGATGGCAACACAGTCCGCAGCTTTAAAGCGCACTGGGGTATGTATCCAGGACTTTACGCATTTAAACATATCACCTCAGTTTTTCAGTGTGTTCCAGAGTGTATGATGTTTGCTTTTTCACATTTTCCAAAAGTTATGTTTCAAAAAAAATTTCTTAAATTAATTGCTAAACTCTCTTCTTATACTTATCTAAGCAGTTTTGCAAAGAACAAAAATCCACCTGTTGATCCTCTCTTTCAGACTCTGTTGAGCACCCCCTTCTGTTGGGAAAGGTGGTTTAAAATTGAATACTTCATGTAGTTTAAATCGTTTTGAGTCATAATTGTTCTTAGAATGTTGACATTTTCCTCTCAGATACTTTAAATAGATCTTCTCCTCTGCACAGGATTGGAAAAAGCTGCTCAGCCTGTCTGTTTGTTAGCAGAACAGGACTTTCCACTGCAGTCTCTGTTCTCCAAAGCCTTTTGTTTCTCTTCTGCTATCTTTAAGAGTGACAATCAACCGCCTTTAAATTTGTGCGCAGACCTTTGGTAATTATCAGTTGGACTCAGGCACTGCTTAGGGCGACCAGCTGTTGTAATATTATTGCCTACTGCCTCCTGTCGTCTGGAAGCTGCATGTTACAGCCTGGCAAATTCACTGCGTTTCACACAATTATGAGATATTCCCTCTTTTTAAGATAAAACTTCTCCTGCTATCAAAGATTACATGGCATCTGTTTTTTTTTTTGTGTGCAGACACTGGAGCGTTGCTAAAGTCTGTGTTGAAGATTAAAATATCTAGGCATCAATTTAAGTTTGTTGCTGTTGTTTTGTCAGATCAAAAGCAATCAGTAGGCTTATTTACCTGCTGCAGTGAGAGTGGTTTCAGTTATGAAACAGGGAGGAATTCTCCTTGATGAATCCAGCAAGAATTAAGTCAGAGTAGATAAATTAAAGTGTTAATTTCCATCATTTAAAACTCAGATAAATAAGGTTTTAACTTTATGTCTATCATGTCACTATCTTCTAAATTACACAACATCCGATTTTATGACAGAGCAAAGTGCCTCCTGCCATTAATCATCCAAGGCTGACCTTGTGATGTATAATCTGTTTAATCTGGGACACATACTGTAAATGTTAAGATGATGTAAATCAGTTCAGTTCCTTTGATTATAAGGCAAATTTAGAACCAATGTTATCTCAAGGCACTTAATAATCTAAACATAATTCATCAGTTGATCAACAAGATTATATTTTTAGGGTTTATTTTTTATCACCATAGTGTTTTTCAGTGTGTAATCTAAAATTGTAATAAAAAACAAAATAATTTTTTATTTAATTTTGAATTTGACTGGAAGCAAATGAGTATGATTTTTAATTGGGGTCAAATAAAGAGGTTCCAGTAATAAAACAAACAGCTGAATTGTGGACCATTTGGAGCTTGTGGGGAATCTTTTTTTTTAAGACAAAAGATGAGAGATGGAATAAGCAATAAGGGAGGGGAACAAGAGATGATGCATGTTCATGTTCATGCTGAGTGAACAGAGAGGAAAAAAAACCCAACAAAATAGGTCTTAATGTGAAAGGAAGATACCAAGCTAAAATGGGTTTTTAAATTCAAGCCTGCCATTAAAAAAAAAACTGACAATATTTCCAAGCAAAGCAACAAATGACTTTTGGAAATAATGTAGTGGAAGAGATGTGAAATTATTTCTCTGCACTGATCTCCTTTCAACAAGCCATGGAGAATATATATATATATATATATATATATATATATATATATATATATATATATATATATATATATATATATATATATATATATATATATATATATATATATATATATATATATATATATATAAGGTAACAATAACAATGCAACATATTTAGCCAGTGGTCCTTGGATAAACCTGGATTTTTATAGTTTTGGCTTTGCATTCATGTTTGAATTTCTTCTTGAGCTGTTAATTTCCTCAGGCTGTGAGATTGACAACTTTACATTAGAAACAGAAAGAAGCTAAGCAAATAAAATTGACAAGAAATGAAAATATGTAACCAGACATCAAATAGAGTTTAAAGGTTTAGATTGAAGTTTAAAAGAAATTATGTGGGCTATATGTCAACTTGAATATACTATGAGAATTTCCTAATGATTCTCAAAGCTTTTCTTACTGTTTTTTTAATGAAAAAGACATCTGAAAATACTGAATATAATTTTTGTGAGTTTTTTGCTAGCAATGCTAGCATCTGTTAGAATTTGTATATGGTTACTTTACTGATTAAAAAAATTATTGGATTTCCAAGCTCAAAACTGGTGGATTCTGGACCCCCCAGCTTTTAGGTGCACTACTGACACTGGCTGATTTTAAATACTTCTGACAACCTCACAAATGTCAAAATTTAAACAAAAACTACAAGTTTGTTTTTAATCTTTGTTATCTATGTTATCACTTAAAATAATCTATTTATATCAGAGTATATACAACAGTTTCCGTTTTCTTACTAATGTTGCTCACTGCTTACGCAGGTACAATAAACAACAAGCAACTGCAGGTGTTTAACCTGACCTCCCTCACCAAATCCGAGGATGTTCTGTCAGCAACTCTTCATTATTATATTGGAGACCTTCAGAATAGCACTCAGGGCTGCTCTGCGGCTAAAACCTGTGCCCGCCACGGTCCCCGAAGACACAGCCACATCCACATGGTCATCTGGAGCTTTGCATCCGTGGACAACAAAATGAGGAGTCTGGGACACTTTCGGATAAATGCGTCCACCTTCTACAGGGACTTTATTTCGTGGCAGTGGAGGGACATCACTCGCGTGGTCAATCAAGCCAAACACCATGACGAGTTGCTCATTGGGATTGATCTTGCCTCACAAGGGCCCCAGCCATGGAAGAAGCTTCTGTCTGACCGTTCTCCCTACATCCTGGTTTACGCCAATGATTCTGCTATCTCGGAGCCTGAAAGTGTGGTAGCCACTCTCCAGAGACACCATTCGTTGGGAGTTGAAGGCTCCATTTCACACAGTTTCCATAAGCTGAGAGAACACAATGACACCAAACAGGAACGACAGCTGCATGTCAGACACAAGCGGTCTGCGAACATTCTTCTTCCGTTGCAAAACAATGAACTTCCTGGACCTGAGTATCCAAACGAAACCAGAGGATGGGACGAGACGAGTCCTTACGAGCCTATAGAAAACAAGCAGAACCGTCGGCCACGGAAAAAGAGCCGCAAGAATCAACGAGCAAAGAATCCCCTTCTGCAGTTTGATGAGCAGACCATCAAAAAGGCACGAAAGAAGCAGTGGAATGAGCCGAGAAACTGCGCTCGACGGTATCTCAAGGTGGACTTTACAGACATCGGATGGAGTGAATGGATTATATCACCAAAGTCTTTTGATGCCTACTATTGTTCTGGGTCCTGCCAGTTCCCGATGCCAAAGGTGAGAAAACACATATTTATCTATTCCTCAAAAATAAAAAGTTTGAAGTCAAACATAATTAGCCTTGATTGACCAGTTTGCAATTAGGTGTCTGTTCTCTGCGTTCAAGACAACACATTTTCCAGTAGGTTTGATGACTTATAAGGCTCTATACAATAGCAACTTCTTGTCTGTTAAGTCGTTTTTTGCTTAACAGAAAGGTGCTTTATCTCTCCTAATTTTATGTATTCAGTGGTGACAAAAATATTACCACCAAATTAGGCTGTTTGTCTACTTTTGCTTTTTACCTATATGTATTTAAGACACATACGAAATTCTTAAATATTCACAAAACTGAAATATTTGACCTCATTGTTGCACTATTCAGGAGTAAAATATATATATATCCATTTATCTTCTCTCTATGTTTAAATCCTCCATTATCATGGGTGTTGGTGCCACAGTGGACTATGATTGAGTGATCGGTTACATCCTGGATGCAACACCAATCTTTCATGGATGAGTCTGAGACAAATGGGACAGCCATACATGGACATACTATTAGAAAAGTGCAATTTAGACTGATAAACTTAACATGAATGCACAGGAAAAACATGAAAACTCCCTGCCGGGATTTGAACTAAGGGCCTGCTTACCGCACCACCCTTCTGTCAATATGAACATATATTTAAATATTTTATTTAAGGACACAATTACTTACAGATGGGCGATATGAATCCCTGCACCAAAATAAGCAAGCCTCTTTGGGTTCTGTAACCAGAGTTCTTTGACTTATCATGGCATTAGCAAAAAGGTGACAATGTCTGATCAAGTAGACCTCAGGATCTCATCTTTGTTTTGTTGGTACTGTTCAGCTGGCATCCTCATGACAATGGAGTCAGTTCCAGCTGAGTGTAAGGTGGCAGCCATCTTGAGTCGCCCAAATATCTTCCATAAAAAACATTAATAAAGTGAGGTGGTTCATGATTGAGTTGTGTCTTACATTCCACTTGGATGAGTCCCAGGAACTAGCCCATCCTAAAAGACTGGATAGTTGTACCTCTTTTGCCTGTTCAATTCAATTCAGTTTATTTATATAGCCCCAATTCACAACACGTCGTCTCCATGCATTTTAAAGGGAAAATTCAACCAGATCATAAACTCAAACAGATTCAAAGTTTTCTATTTAAGGAAAACCAGTTGATTGCATCAACTCATTGACTCAAAGGCAATCCTTCACACCAAGCATGCTTGTAGCGACAGTGGAGAGGAAAAACTCCCTTTTAACAGGAAGAAACCTCCAGCAGAATCTATTAGTACCTTGTGTTCTCCAGAATGAGCTGGAGAGAGAGAGATGTCCAGGTTTCCCTCTTGGACAAGTTATCCCTGCAGCAGTTTTCTTGGAATTATTACTTCTCATAAAAACACCTTGTCCTTCTCATAACAACCATATTGTAGCACATTTGAACATATGAGCCTATGAAGCAGGCAGTCATTTTTATTGCTTATCCAAATCTGTTTCAACAGGTGATCCAAAATGCCACCCTACTGAACTCCAGGACCCATTAGAGTGGTTTTATACCGTAACAGAAGACTAAAAACATACATGCAGATGCTCAATGTTCAAACACTGACTTCTCTGCAGAGATTAAGTAAACAGAGTTGCTGTGTTCAGCAGTCAGGGAGTCCATCAGTCTTTGTTAGCTGATGCTCTTAGGGCTCTGTGTTATATTAACCTTAGTTACATTAAAGTCAGAAGGGCCTGTCTGTCTTATATTATGGATGATAATCCCAAACTTTACGAGCTTTAATCTTCAATGACCAGAATAAACTACTCACTGGGGTTTTACTGCCTGTGGATCCTCATCATTTTCCCCTCTACTTTGTTCAAAGACCGGAAAGCTTTTGAAGATAAACATGAACAGTATAGCAATGTAATTTAATAAAAACCAGTTAGTTCAAAGTAAAGTCCTAATGCACTAAGCATGTACTGTAGAAAATACTGGCCAGTTGCAAATCTAAATTTAAAAAAACAAATTCACAGCAGGTGGCTGACCTTTACAACATTTTTACACCTTTACATGAACAAAAAAAAACTGTTAGAGGACAATGTTAAAGGTCGGCTCCCGGTGACAAGATAACATCACAGGTATTTTAAACATGGCCGGAATGCTCCAGCTCCATCTATTTAATTCATTAGTGCGGAGTTGCTAGACTTTGTAGTTGGATGTAATTAGTCCCAGCAGTCAGGCCTGGGGCCTTAAAGGGAGCCGCCTCCCTCTCCTACAGCTTTTCTGCTCAGTCAGAAAAGCCTCTGAAGTTGCATCTCTTTAGTAAGGTCAAACTCTCAGAAGCTGTTAAATAGTTTCTATTAAAAGTGCCTTTATGCTATTTGTCTCTTCTGCTGTGATGTGAGGGAAGAGTGAGCCCTAAAGCAGATAATCAGGTGTGTGTTAATTGTCAGGCATGTAAAGAACGTTCAGGCCTTTAGATGGTTGTGCATAAATAAAATAAAAATAAGACACTTATATGATTGTAGAGCTACTGTAAAAACAAATCTGAAAACTTCTCCTACTGGATATTTTCTAAACTTAGAGATAATTAGGTATTGAATATACATATGGAGACCAACAGGTTTGTTAATGAGGGGGGAAAAAAGCATTTGTCACTGTTGATACATTTGGAAGAATGCTAATTTCAACTTTGACTTCTTTTAACTGTGACTTATTTAAGAGGGGAAAGCTGTAGCCGATACACAATATTGCATTCATAAAAACTAGACCAGATTTATGTAATACATTTTTTAAAACCTTTCGGAGAGCCAAAGTGATATTTTCAGAAATCACTGCAATTTCATAATCAGTATATACTGATCAAGTCCAGGTGTAACTGGCTCATATCATGAGTTTTTTGTTTTATTTTGAAGTCTGAAGCCTAAATAAATCAATTTCAGTACCTTTCTGGGTGCTTTTGAAAGTATAATAAAAGCACAATAAATCTCAGTCTGTTCCGTTTAGGTTCAGAATATTAACAGGAGATTAATAAAAAACAATGCTAACCAACTTCAAAACACAATGATAGTACTTTCATTTATAAGCAGGAATTAACAAATCAGCTGCCAATCTTAGCATCTTTTGTATTCTTATGAGCCATTCTTGTTATTGTCACAGTTTCCAACTAAATGTTTTCATCTTCTCTGACAATTTGTCACCAGTTTTTATTTCTACAGAGAAGCAATGATGTCATCAGATAAATTAAATAGCAGTAATGTATCAACTAGACAATGTAGATGAAGTAAACCAACTTTTTCATTTCAAATACATTTTGGTTGAATGAACCAATGAATATACCTACAGTACATGAAGTTGGCACTCGCATTAGGCAAAGACTGTTAATGCTTCCATCCAGTCTGTCATAGTGGGCTGATTTAGTTCATTTTAACTTGGATGTCTGTTTTTACTAAGAAATTTTGCATGGAAGTGATAATGTTGGTTTAAGTTGCTGAGGTGTGCAATGTATCTCTTACAACTTCTTCTGATAAATAAACTCTTAAAAAATACTAGACACCTTCTCATCTTGTACTGATATAGTCAAGCGTGATCTTCTTCTTAGCCCTGCAAGTATTTTAGAGTCAAATGTGAGAACACAGGTCCAATAATTGTTGTCAGCAGAATCGCAATCCCAAAAACATCCCATCTGCAACAAAATGACTGAAAAAGCAAAAGAAAATGGTGTCATAATAGCCTAGTAGAAGTCTAGACCACTAAATTTCTGTGTTTGGGCCTAAAGAGAGCCGACAAACAACAGCAAAACAAAGTGAACTCAAATAATCACAATGTTAAGAGTCTATACAGTCAGTCTGAAGAAAATATGTGAGATTGGTTTTAGTTAGTTAAAGTCCATTAGTGACTCAGCTCATCTAGAAGTAAAACCCAGGAGTCATGTATATTTTTTTCATTCCAGGCTTTGAAGCCCACAAACCACGCCACCATCCAGAGCATCGTCCGGGCTGTCGGCGTGGTTCCTGGCATCCCTGAGCCATGCTGCGTCCCAGAGAAGATGTCCTCCCTCAGCATTCTCTTCTTTGACGAGGACAAGAACGTGGTGCTGAAAGTTTACCCCAACATGACTGTCGACTCCTGCGCCTGTCGATAGTTTAGCTTCCTGTCTGCATGCAAATTCATATGCACCTCCTATTACACAGAAACAACTAAGAAAAACACATTACAGCCTGAGACAAACATCCACAGACTTCCCTTTTTGCACTGGAGGAAAGCACCACCTGTTGTTCCAGGTGAGGTGGAGACTGGTCTGTTAAGGGGAGGAAACGGATGACATCAGCATGCCTCAGTGCTGACTAACTTTTTATCTGCATATTTCTCATCTGTTATCCATTGGGTGACAGCAAGGTGGAACAAATCACTCCAACTGACGTATTAAAGAGACAGAAACTAAGAGGGAAGAATGAATCTTCACAGGAAAATATGAATCCTTAATGAAAACTAATCTCAGCTGGAACTGACGCCTCTGGTCGGGGCTGAGGGAAGGTGTTCACCCATCATTCTTGTCTTCATAGCATATAGTTCTCTTTATCCATTAAAAAGCCACCTCTGCTCACACTTGCATGGTAATCGTTACTCTGTGTATATGTATTTATGTCTGTAATATCACTGTGTTATTCACGATGGAAGAGGATTTTGTATAATTATGGGCTTGGTCGCTATAGAGGATCATATTGGGTTCCAAAGCCAGAGTTGTGACGTATAGACGGTAGATTCACATTTGATATAGGATTACTGCTCCATAAGTTTCTTTTTGTTTTGTTTCTTCATGCAGGACAGTAAGCTACATTTAATCTGTATTTTTATAGAGAAATAGGATTTTAGGAAACATTTTAGTTCAGGACAAGATAAGTGTTTCTGAACTTAAAGGGATAGCTCATATTTTCTTGAAGTGGGGTTCTGTCGACAGTTTATAAGTAATAATTTCCTACCTGCATGAGATATCTAATCTTAGCCTCTTCATTTTGTTAAAACAAAAGATTAGCTTTTAAACTAAAAGCTAGTTAGGTTCATAATGCGGATATATTTTCAACTTAAATACCATTAAACCTCCATGTGCAGTGATGATTTTTATGGTTTTAAAACTGTCTATATACAGAAATCGGTATGCTTTTGTAGAAAAACTCATATCATCATCAAAGCGAAGCTTCAAACTATTCAGGGAAAATATTTACAACAGGTAGCTGCTGAATAAAAAAAAACTCTTTAAAATATCCGATTCAAAGAGCAAATCGATAGAGAAAGCGTCTCTGGAAAAAGGCTCCTGGAATCCATATTTTGCTAATTCCTGTTGAAATGTTTCAAATTGTTCATCAGTGAGGAAAAAAGATAAAAAATATTAACACAAAAAAAGAAAACTGCAGTAACTTGTTATCAGGACTGACATATGTACAAATAATAATGAGCTTTTTTTTGTAATCTAAATTGTACTGTGTCCCTTCTTTAATTTTGAATATTTGTCTATGAATATTTACAAAGTGCCTTAATGCATTTTTCCTCTACGTAATTTGCATGCTATAAAAATACAAGACAGCTCTAAAACAGTTTTGCTCTACATATCATTCAGATTATCATCATTTTTATGTGAATTATTATACTGTAGCTTAAAAAACTATTCAGGTTGTGCTGGTTGCATTTTCCATGAGGGATTTGGACTCCTTAAAATAACTAACCAGCATCTTCTTTGATTTTCTCTTTCCAGAGAGAGATGATGGTACCTCGGCGTAAGGATGAACATTCTTAGTCCTAAAATCGCAAAAAATAAACACACAGCCGAATTTACAGGAGATAAGTTAACACTTCCTTATTTAGGGCCTTTCATAATGAACTAACATCCAATATAGGTAGTGAGACAATACCTATAATTCAGCAATTACTATTATCTATCTTTCTATTGCTTTAAAAGGCATAGAAGTCAGCAAATTTTCCCCTCATTTATTTGCTAATGTTAGTATTTAAATGTTTGTACTGTAATCGGGCTGGAGCATTGAGATAGTGTTGTTTATTTTTATTTCAATAATACCAAAATGGATTAACTCTACTCTCACCAAGGATAGCTGATCTGTTTTTGTTGGTTTTTATAAGACTAATAGAAAATTTCAGTTAAAATTAGACAAAAATCATAAACCACATTTACTCTTCTTAAAAGCATTGAAGATGTTTACAGGTCAGAGGGGACAAAACCTATTTATTAAGTCTAGACAGCGTTCAATAAAGTAGAAAACTTTTTTTGTTTTTGATATTTTTGTACATTGTTTTGTAAATATCACTGTTTAAACCCCCCCTCCCCTCCTCAGAAGGGTGGCTTTAGCGTCTCTGGCTTTTTTTGGGGCGACTCGGTCATTCAGATAACTGACCTCGCTTAGTATTGAATATTTATGTGGTACAAATTTGTTAGCCCGCGAAGGTTGACTGTAGGGCTTCTTTTGATAGTTATAATCACAGGTCTAGTTTATTTTTGGAATTATTATTTTGCCCTTTTTAATTTAGAGATGTCATTTTTGCAGATTGTCTAAAGTTTTATATTTTGTACTGATGCATTTTTTTAAGTGTGCCTCCTTAGTCTGCAGAGGTAATAAAATGCATGCTATTGCTTGAGGCTGAAAAGGCCTTTATGCAGCAGCTCTGACAGTCTGGAGTGCACTTAATTAACACATAAATAAAAAACAGGACAGTATATCATCTGTTTTTAAGAACCTATTCATTCTTCAGCTCAAGCTATCTTGTAAATGTTAAGTATAAAGAATAAATGCTTGTACAATAAGCTTCATAAAATATATTTGTATATGGAAAAGACTTTACCATGCATCTATTTATTTACTGTATAATTCATATCTTGTAATGGCGTGGCTTGGAGAGCTGAAGCTGGGGAGCACTGCTGGTGGTCGCTGATGGACAAATATGTCACTACTGATATGAAACAAAGTGTGATGAACTGTTGAAAAGGTCTCCCAACTCAAAGCTCCAATATTTCTCCTAAAGCATTCAAAGAAATGAATAAAATTATGCAAGATTTACAACACTCAATGTTTCTTTTTCTATTTAGAAACTGGAAGACACCAAGAACATTGTTGTAAGTTGATTTTTCTAAATCTATTTAGAAAAAAACAACATAATTCTTTCAACATCCATCTTTTTTTTAGGAATGCCAGAATATTTTGGGCTTCAGTCACATAAGTCACCATGATCTTCCCAAATGGCTTTTGTTGCAGCCAAATGTAAATTTGGCCTCTTTGAATTCACATCTTTTTTATCATCATAGACACCAGGTGGTAAATTAGACGGTGACCCAAGATTTGACTTAATTTGACACTAAGACACTCCCTTTTTACACCAACCCCTAGATCATTGCACACTAATACTGTTTATTGAACTCAGACAGGTGGCTCTTACTAGCCTTTAGGCATCTACTTCTATTCTAACTCTTTAACACAGATGAGAAGGTTGAGATTGTGTGGAGATGAGCAGAAGACTACGCTCTATGTAGCGCTGCCAGGGAAGATGAGCAGAACAAAGATTCATGGATGTAGTGAAGAAAGACCAGCAGCAGGTTTGTGCGACAGAGGAAGATTTTTGGGATAAAGTGAGATGGGAATGGATTAGCTTCTGTGGCACAAAAATAAAAGTTAATTTAAAATAAAATGGAGAACAAAACAAATTCAAACAGCCTATATAATGTAAAATAAAAATTTCTGAGTCTGTAATTCGTACACCTAACCTACATAGAGGAGGGATTGACTACCATGAGGAAGCAACTACCTTGACCACTTTGCTCCTGCCCAGTAAACAACATACCCACTTTCTCCAGTCAGTGATGGGAGGTACAGTGGAGCACATCAGTTCTGCTCAAAGGTGAGATAAAGGGTCTCTTTTAGCAGCTAATCTCCACACCTACAGTAGTTTTTTTTTTTTTTTTAGCTAATCTCTCAGTTATGAAATGTGTTTTTCAGCTAGAGAGAGGGTCTTTGTTAAGCCGGGCGTACACAGTGCGATTTTCCAGTCGTGCAAGAATCTTTCAATTGGGCTGACTTTCACAATGATCATGCGTTGTGATCGTGTAGTGTACAGGGGGTTACGAGGGGCGATCGGCATCTCACGACCACCTCCCGATCAGGAATCGTGACCGTCGTGGGAAAGTCGCTCAGGGCGCATGCGCAAAGAAGGATTTTTCATTTTATTCTTCCTCTCAGATGTAAACACAGAAACATGGCAGGGATGCTATGAGTGAAATGCAGTTCTGTCTGTAAAATTGACAGACCGTGGTAGCCACATTTGCTCAGCCATGTCTTTTTCCAAATACGTCGTCGCCTTTCCTTTTTAGGGCTTTCAGCACAAATTGCCAAGGCAGCGCGTTTCGCTCTAGTGAGCTTAATATTTCCCCATCTACTCACAGCTCCATCTCACTGCGGAGCTGAGTCCGACATGGTTTTTAGTCGTACAGTGTGAGCAGGTAGATCACATCAGAGCGTCGGGCCGAACATAAATCGTGAGCTGTGAACTCACACTGTACGAATAAACCCTGCGGTTAGTCCTACATTGTGAGCAGTAGCTGCACGAAACGACTGAAAAAAATTGCACAGTGTACGCCCGGCTTTAACCCTTCATTAAGAACACCCCAAATGCCAGAAGTGGTGTGATCCCATACTGCAGCAGCTCATGGATAACGTCATGAAACGGCAGCAGCCACAGTTGCAGTGAAGGCAACTGTCTAAGGCTGGTAAAACAGTACTAGAAAACACAGGCATTATCTTCTTATGTGCTTAAAGTAAACTTTGGATGCTTAAAAAAGTACAAAACGAAACCATTATAGCAACTGATGAAGAAAATTAGGGATTCCTTGGACATTTTTATTAAACAATGTATATTTCCAGATTTTAGTTGTGCTTTGACAACTTTGGCAAGAATCAACTGAAACAGGCCACCGTGGTGGTAAATTGTACCACAGTTATAAAATAAGAGGAACAACTTTACTGCATTTCTGCCAAACCAACAGTTCATTAAGCTCATTAGAGTTTGTTGGTTGTTGCAGGCTATGATAGAAGAAACAAACAGAAATGATTAATCTTATTATGTTTTTAGAATTTTTTACAAGTTTCTTTATTATGACTTAAATCAGAAATAACTCTTTGCAGAAAAGCTGTTCCTCAGGTATTCACAGACTGTACATCCTGGTCATTATTCCAAAGACAAATATATAGAATAAGAAGGTTGAAATTATGTAATAACTTCATGGGTAATGTGAAGGAAAATAGGGCTATAAAAACTTACAATGATAGGTACAAACACCCAAAAGGACAATTCAGATTATAGGTGTGTGCTCCTAACTGACACGGCCCCATTAAACCCTGAAGGTTTTGTGCCACAGATCATCGACACTCACACTAAGCAGAAGTCAGCAGAGGAAGTCGACTACCACAGAGTTAACTTTTAATATTTCTTCAGCTCAGACACCTTGCAACATGAATCAATGTCTTTAAATTGTCAGCAGAAGAGGCATTAAAACATTTAAAAAATGTGTGTTTATAAGTCCTGTTGGTCGGGAGGATAATGCATTTAAAACAATCAAGACCTGATGCTTTTTACCACCACAGATTTTCAGCTAGGCTTCTCTGAAGATGCAGAGTTACCCTTCAACATTTCCACACACATCTTGGTGCTTTAAAGTACCTCTTACAGATTTCTAGTGTTTGAACTTTTTTGCAACTATTATACTTTTCAGATCATCATACCTTTTATAATGGCAGCATAAACACAAAAACACAGTTTTCAGATGTTGATTTGATTAAGAGAAAATAAACGATCCAAACCGACCTTCACCATTGTCATAAATGTTAAATTATAATTTCATACTTCAGTTTCCCTTTTCCACACCAGAGCTTGTTATTGGGTATAATGTAAAAATAATAAAGAGCTTTAAAGGAAGATCTCTGACAGCACAAAGCAACAAACCATTCCTAAATCTATAGTTATTTACAACTGAGAAAATTAGCCATTGACATGGAGTTAGGAAAGGCAATGGGATTCCAGTGAATCAAAGTGCGAGTCGGCATCTAACAGGAGAAAACGTGAAAAAGTGGGGAATCATTTCATGATTTGATGAATGATCAAATGAGTTTCAATTTCTAATCAAAAACTTTTTTTGAAGAGCCCAGAACGACCTCTAAAAAAACTAAGGACCTAATTGGCATTATCTAAATAAACTGATTTAATTATTGAGACATTAGTGGCACTAATTTCTAAAATAAAAATGTAGGCTCAGATTGTTCATTAGATTCATAGACTTCAGCACAATTCACCTCTGTAATGTTTACCTGCAGCATATTGTGGAGAAGCTTAAAACTACTTTAAACATGGGTATTTCTGTTAATTACAAACACAACACCAGTACAGTGTCAGGCTTATATATATCAGTCTTAAATCTGTCAGAGGTCCAGTCAGGTTTAGGAAACAGACACAAAAAAGTTACCGCAAAAAATACATCCTTAAAAGTCCATGTCCCAACCAGAAAGCTCATCAGGAGGACTTTCCTCATCTGGAGGATACTTGTCGAAGTAAGTGTGGTCAGTCGGTCCGCTGAGCTAAAGAGGGGATCAGAAAGGCAATAGAAAAAGCGGTCAGAATTGTCTTTCTTTGTATAACATCTGAATTCCTGAAATATGCAAGATGAAATAACAGCCTAAATTAAACATAAAATAAAAATTGGTAGTTTATTAGAATGTTGTAATTCTGATACTATATATTGGTGGAGGCAAACCTAATGTAGTAACTTCTCAGACTGCAAGTAAGAGCAGACAAACCTGTAAATCTTTTTTAGTTCTTTTGTACACAGGATTCTGAAATACATCCCTGCAGCAATACATTGATTAGTTTTAGCTTCTAAATTATAGTACCGTTTTAAGACCACCCCAGAGTTATGATCCCCTTCACTCTTTTTACGTCAGAGCTGTTTATGCTCAGATATTGTTACAAGTTAACAAATGATGTAAAACAAAAGATAAAGCTTATAGTTAGAGTGGCTCAGGTTATCCTAAGCTTTCTCTAATGTTATGCTGCTATAGGCTTAAACTGCTGGAGGACATAGGGACCCCTTTTCCTCATTACAGTATGTTTCATTCTATCTCTATTCTTTCACTCTGCAGTATTTGTTAGCTCAACCCCTCACATTTTGCTCTCTCTGCTTTTTCTCATCATTATAGCTTCCTGTGTCTGTTTCTATCTGGCTGTGACACCATCCTGGGGAGAAATACTAGCTGGGCTGCTGCCATCAATACCTTTGGTTATAGAAGACAGAGCTATAGACTTAGATTTAACAGTGAAAACTGCCTCACAGCTCATCAGCTCAACTTCTTTCAGAGACACTTGTGCTGCTAGATTACAGTTTTCTACTTTTTCTAACAAAGAAAGTATTCATAGATCAGTGTTTCTATGTTCTTTATGTGTGTCTGTTTTTGTCTCCTTGAACCCCAGTCGGCTTCGGCAGAAGGCCGCTCACACTGAGCCTGATCCTGCTGGAGGTTTCTTCCTGTTAAAAGGGAATATTCCCCTTCTGCTATCGCAGAGTAAAGCAGAATAAAATATAATGCTTACTTGTTTTTTTTATACTGCATATTTACTCAGTAGGTTCTTAATAAACACTGGCATCAAAAATGGTTTCAGTTTGCTCAAAGACTCCCTATTTGCTCTAAGATCCTTCTAAAGTTAAACAGTATTATTTTTATATTAAGATAATTGTAATATAATTATATAGTGTACAATTATACAAAGAAGATCTCAGACCATCTCTACAAACACTACTACAACATCCATGTTTGGATCAAATCAAAACTTACATCTCTCTTTAGTGGGGACTGTAATGTCCTCGCCTTTAGCCCGTCCCAGTTGAATCCATTAAACCACCTTGAGAAAAAAAATAAATAAATAAAGGTGTTTGCTCAGAGACCCAGAGTGGCAGTCTGTGGGACTGGGGCTCGAACTCAGACCCTTAGGGTTCCAAGCTTTTTACCCTAACCACTAGGCTGCCACTCCCCACATCATAAAGGAAGTAAAACTTTATGAGCATTTTTACATATTTTATTGCATCTGCTTTTGTTTTCAACAATAACATAAAGTGAGTAAGAAATTATTAGACCAAATTATTATTTACACCAAAGAACAAGTAAGTAATCATTAACTTCGGGCCTATACGGTTTCCTTTTAGCACCAAACTTAGTGTGTTTTTCTTCTTACCTGTGTTTCTTGATATCAGTTATTCCATTTTTAAGGTTCCCTAGTCGCTCTGCAGGGTTCCTCCTGTAATGTAATTTAAAGCCACAGCAAATGAACTCCCTTTTTAGCTAAAAGAATCGCTAAGTTCAGCCACATCTCCTGATCATAAACCTCCTTTTTCTGTGGGATAACCACCACTGTTCCGACCCAGGGAAGAAAAACAGAATGATTAACCTTTCCTACCTGCACAGCTTTCGAATGAGGTCCTCAGGTCTTCTGGTGATCTTCTTTGGAAAGTCCATCTTCTCTATTCCTTTCAGTATGAATGTATATGTCATCATCTGGTCACTTCCTGAGAATGGAGGACTATAGTGTTCCCCAAAAATAGATCAATAATTGTTTCTGCACTTTTCAACAAACAGAAGTTTTATTGAAGATTATGAATGACCACCTGCACTGACCTGCCAGTTAGAAGCTCAAACACCAGGATACCAAGGGCCCAGAAGTCCACACTAAAGTTGTGGCCCTTGTTGAGGATGATTTCAGGGGCCACATACTCAGGGGTGCCACAGAAAGTCCAGGTCTTCTGGCCGGATCTTATCTTTTTTGCAAAACCAAAGTCAACCTGGGAAGGAAAGGATCATCAGTGAGTTTTAACTTTATTTAATTAGTCTTTAGGACAAAAACATCTTAATTTAGATGACGAGATAAGAAAAATCCTTTAAAACTTTCAAAAGTCTCAAAAATGATGACATACTTTTAGTTTGGGGACACAAATGCTTTCTGTTAAACATTTCCCTGTTTAAACCTAAAGCAACGGATGAAATTTACTTTACAGATTTTTACAACCTTTACTACAACTTTTGTTCCTTTTTATTCATATGACCACGATCAGCTAACTTTATCATCAAGTCATTAAAATTTACAACTATTCTTTAAACTAAGTTTTCATACCCCTTGCCTTTTTTATTTATTAACACCACCCAAAACTCAGATGTATTTTTATTGGAATTTTATGTAGTAGACCGACACAAAGTGAGTCTTAAGTTTGTCTTCAGTAAAGATATTAAACTTAGTTTTGGCTTGACTTTGACTAGGCCATTCAAATCATTTTGATTGGTTGGTGAACCAGGTCCCAGTCTTCAAGATTTTTTTTTTTTTGTATTTAACTCCATCCATAATTACATCCACTTTGGTGATTTCCCTGCCCTTGCAGAAGCAAATTTGGGCCAACTTTAGGGATGGTGTGTTCAAGGTGATCAACATTCTAAGTGTCCTGTACATAAATGTATGTAGGCCAGAGAGCTGACCGCGGGTCTGATCTGATCAGAGCAGCATTGTTCACGTTTTCATCGCCCATTAAAGGACTTAAAGCAAACACCAAATAGGCCTTCTTATGGTTGTCTTTCAACAGTCTTCTTCCCACTCTCACACAAAGAAACCAATCCTCTCCATTCAGATTAATACAGCCAAGCCTGCTAGGTTGGTGGATAAACATGTCTTGAATAGTGCTTAATGAGCATTTAAATGGATATGTATTATTTTAAGCTTTTTACTTAGGAAACCGACCAACGAGAAAGTGAATCTCAGAAAAATAAATCACAATTTACCAGTTTGATGTATCCCTCTGAGTCAAGCATTAGATTCTCAGGCTTTAAATCTCTGTAGAGGACACCTTTACGATGAAGATACTCAAACGCCTCGGTCACACAACCGACACAGAATTTGGCAGTGGGCTCATCGAAGCTCCCCCTAAAGAAAAGGAAGCTAAGGTTAAAAAACAGATACTTTTTCTTCCGATATTTTAGGTTGAATTTGAACAGAACAAAAAAGGTTTTAAAGAGGCAATTTATAAGAAACGTGTGGCTCGTTCACCTGTCTCTGAGGAGACTCCAAATCTCTCCACCTAAACAGGCCTCTAGAAGCATGTACACGTATTTGTTATCCCTGAAAGTGCGATACAGCCTGGAGAAATAAAAACGAGGATGTTTAAGCTTCATAGAAAACAAAAGTCCCTTAGTTTTTTAATTTCTGAGCTTTAATTAAAAATATTTGCTTTAACTCATTCAACTTACTAAAACAATCGGTGAATTCATTCCAGAATTGATGATAGTAACTATTAGTTGAAGAAAATAAATGTTTGACTACAAACATTTAGCTATGTTCCAGCTCGATACATGACCCCTTTTAAAATAACCAAATACAAAAAAACACAAACATTTTAATTAAAGATTATAAAAACAAGTTGTCAAAGTTTTTAATCAAACAGTAGGCAGATAAAAGCCCCAGTTCCAATATATCATGATGATTCTGTTCATTTTCTCAACAGACCTCATATTATTTGCCTTTCCAAACCACAGAAAAATATGTAATCTGCTCTGGGCCTCGACTATCATCTCATCAAAAACTAATCAGAGCGGGACTGTTTTCCCAGATTGATGGAGCACAGTTTCCGCATGGAAGATAAAATGGCTTAGCAGGCCGAGCGGGAACACTGACTTGACAATAAAAGAGGAGCGAGCCTCGGCGAGGATTCTCCTCTCGGAGTGGATGTGTTCTTCCTGCCTGTTGTCCACAACATGCTTCTTTTTGATCATCTTCAGTGCAAAGGTCATGTCCTCCCCCTTCACCTTCACCTACACATGATTGTTAAAGAGTAGAATACCACATTAGAGCTCATTCCTTTTCCAAAACTGAAGAATTAATAATAAAAGAAAGATTTTCCCTGAAGTCAAACAAGCACCGTCTCTCCCATGTAAAGATGAACTTTTTCTCTATAGATGCTCTATCTTCATTGCCCTTTTCGGACAGGTAAGATTAATAGAATCTTAATATTCTATACCTTTTAAAAATTCCAATGTGATTCTGTGTTACCAAGAAGACTTTAACCCTTTAATGATTTTATTTTGACAAAAAAGAATATCATTACACAAACTAATATGTAGCCTGGGTGTTTTTACAGCATACAGAGCTTAGGCTATGGATTTAGCTGCTTTGTTTGAAATACATTATCAAATATAATCTTTTCAACAAACTAATGTCAAACCCTGTGTGCATCTTTTGTATTTTAAAAAGAATCATTTAACTTCATAGATCGGAGTCAAATAGTTATGAAAATAAAAAATATATATTTGAAAGTGATTTGTTTAGGTTTTGTTTATGAGTAAGAGTTTGAGCGCTTTTTTTTATTATTACAATAACAAATTAGAAGTTTTGATAATGAGGCTTCATCACATTGATACAATTATAAAATGTCTTGCTACAACATAGCAGTAAATATTGTTATTAAATTATGCAGCCATGATTATGACTGTTGCAAGTTGCGTTGTATTCATAACCAGGCCAGGCCTTCTGTCAAAACATATATGAAAGAACAACTAGTTTAGTTTAGCTTAGTTTAGTTTACTTTAATTTATTTCAGTTCATATCCTGCCTGTGTTAAAAGACTACTATCCTTAATGTAAAACTGCATTAACAGCAGTCAAAAGGAAAACTAATAAAATTGCACATGAAGGACGACTCCAGACTTTCTGTAACTTTGCCCACAATCAGATCAGCTCAGAGCTTACCAGTTGAACGCGTCCAAACCCGCCAACCCCCAGGGTAGAAATTACTTCAAGGTGATCAAAGGGCCTGGATGAAGAGAATACTGACACCATTTCCTTCAGCTGGACGAAATCAGGAGACAGCGGCTGACTCTGGTGTCGGGAAACAGACTTCCTGGATAAATAACCCAGAGAGGGAATAGGGCTGCTTTTAATCAAAAGTGTAAGAACAATCCAAATTATGAAAAATAAAGCCTCCTGTTTTATTCACCTCTTTAATGTTTACATTTGTTTTCCTTTGGTTAGTTGGCCTAAGCATTAAATTCTGGGCTTACTTAGTATATCTCTTCTTATCATCTTGATCAAGTGTTGCCACGTAGCCTTCAAGGTGTTTCTGCAGCTCATTGAAGTTACCCACTGTGTGATCAAATGTCCTGTTGAAACAACAACCGCATGTTGAGTGAACCACAAGGGTAGTGAATGTCTTCCATTTTCACATTACATTTACATTACATTACACACTGCTGGTATTTATGATTTTTTGCACCATTGTACAAGTATAGGAAGCAAACCTAAGCCAAAAAAGTGCTTCATATTTGTTTTACAACATGAAACCAAATTGTAAAACAACAATGTAAAACTACTCACTCTCTGTCGATTACAAGGCACTCCAACCCGTTCTCGTCTGCGATGATATTGGCTGACCTGACATCATCGCTAACAAACATGTGGAGCAGAAACATAAGGTTTGGCACAAATAGACAGACATATTTCTTCACCACCAGCTGTTCAATGGAAATGTAAATACTTTCTGCCTTTTTTCTGTTAAACCCTCAATCAAAAATATGCAGTACAACAAGCTGTGTGTCCTTAAAAATACCACATAATTCCTGGATAATAAAATCCTTCTAAAATAAAAACATTCAAAAGTCTATCCTCTGCCTATTAGGGATCCAGTGAGGTGATTTAAGGCGTGATCCATTTTGCTTGTGTTGGTCAGACCATGGCAGCAGCAGGTTAGATGAGCTACAGCTGCCTTTCTGATTTTTTTTCTACACAGACATCACATTATAGTAATATTTTTATACCCTGACCCTGCAAACAGCATTAAAGTTTGGCCAGAGCCCCTTACTTCTTAAGAAAATAACACACATTCTCCTCCCCAAAAAAACAATAAAAACAACCTTTGAGAATGTTTTTCTTACTTTATCTCTATCCAATTATCATTATGTTTGTTTAGTATGTGATTTTTTTTTTGTTTTTCAACACTGCATTATATTATTATAAAACAATTGTGTATGTAGTGGTAGGACTGGACTTAATGTATGTTAGTCCATAGGCATGCTCTTGTCCACTTGTACATGTGCTTTACTTTTTCTTTTGAGCATCTTTAGAGTTTACTGTAAAAGCCAGGTTCACAACGTTATTTCTAAAAGCCAAGGTGGGAAACAATTTTTTTTATAAAGTTAGCTTCAGAGTTCAGTTTTAAATCTTCAGTGTTTTCTGTTATTACATATTAATAAATATCATATTTATTGAAAACATATTAGATGGCATTGAAAAAAATTTATTTTTCGCAAAATCGTTCCCCCTAACAGTCCCCAAGAGGGCTGCACCGCACACTTTGAAAACCACTGATCAAGCCTATTTCAAATACAACACTCCAATTATTCTGAGTCCTATTTAAGCAGAAATGCTGTAATCCTGGTTATACTTTTCAAGCAGCACTAAGCTGATTAATCAATTGACTACAGAGTCTCCCTAATTCAGTATTTAAGTTGGAGGAACCTTTACTCTGTTGTAGTGGTCGAAGTTGTATGTACAAAATAGTTATGCAACCTAACAGAGAGGAGAACCGATTCCCAATTAAAATAAACAAAATGATTAAATAAGTATTTTAAGTTCATCTAGGTCTATTTAAATGCTGACAATAAAAGGGCAACAAAACACAAAACATCATAAATTCCTGACACAACCAAAAACAGAAAACAGCAAAAGATGGGTTTGCAGCACATTCTAAGCTGGCATTTCTAAGAAGAGGGAGCTGAGTCTACGTTACCACTAAAGATTTTTTTTACAGGACTACCAAACTCTAAAATAAGACGTTAGATTGAAGAAAGTTCCGTCATGAAACAGGTAGTTAGGACACATTATACCAATATTTTTATTGAGATTTTGGATACACAAACATGAATATAAAGTTGACAGCCATCAGCCTAGATGCTGTTTTGTACTAGGAATATGTAGAAATCTAAGCTAGTTTGTTCATATGTATGCTTAACTAAAAGTTGCCAAAGAATAAAGCCTTGATGTATCCCAAGGGATATTTATGTCTGTTTTGAATCATCAACACCAAATAACTCAAAGAAAAGTTGCACATGAATCAAACAAATAAAAGATTCATAAACTTGGACAGATTCAAGTATTTGTTCTTATATGTTTCATATAGTTTCAGAATTTCAGTCCGCAGTGACATGCATCATGGCTTGGAGACAGTCAACCTAGAGCTCAAACATCAGTGGTTAAAATATCTGCATCTCTAACTCTCACTCTGTCTAATCATCTATTTTACTTTAACATATGTATTTATTGGGAAGAAAAAAAAATTAGAAAAAAAGTCTAGAACAAAATAAGAATTCATGTTTAAATCTACCACTAGTATTTTATCCAGCTCTGCATTTTATAAAGTCATCTGACCAGAATGACTCATTTGAGTGATCTTTTCTTTTTTTAATTTCTTCCATTTTAATTAAAACATTTTTTTTTTGTTAAAACGTATCCACATCTGGGCCTTTATGGACTTTGTTTTTATTACATTGCATGTTTACCTTATGAGTGCTTTTTCTCCAAAGTAGTCCCCCTTCTGCAGCGTGTTGATGATCTGAGGCAACTTGTGGGCCTCGTTGATTTGGGTCACATTCACCTGCAGGAAGCACATTTAAGTGTCTAGTTCAGCTTTTTACAGGTGCTTTCTATTTTGTCAGAATATTTTACATGCATTGTAAAAACAGAAAAAGTATGTTAAACCTAGAAAACTGACATATTCAATAACAGTAATTTGACCATGATGGCCTATGCATGATTAAGCACCACTGATGAACTCTGTATTTTCTCAACATCCTATCCAAATACACACATCAATCTTAGGAGGATTTTGCTCAGAGGAATTTATTTTTTATTTATTTTTTTACTTTGCTTGTTGCTTTTCTAATTGCACTCTGTAAGCACTCCTCAGTAAAAACACTTTAGCAGGCTGGATGTTGTGAAAGTTCTCTATAATTTGGTAGGCTTTAAAAAAAAACAGTGGCCCACCCCAGTTGAGGTCAAACAGCCCACTTGTGGCATCGTTACCATTTAAGATATGCCGCAATGACATCACAGACTTAATGGCCTGTGTGTGTTTTAGCTAAGTGTCCCATTTGACCTGAGTGACCCCTCACTTCCCCTGTTTTTCCTGATTGCGGGCACTCTTGGAGTTTATTCCCTCACTGGTCAGAGGGCACCAAGGGGGGTGAGGGAGCCATTTCCTGCATAAGCGCCCTTCCTCCCAAACAACAGACATCTCACCCTAGCTTGGTAAGCTTAGAGTTTAGGGGCTGCTGTTTCACATGGACTTATAATGGCCTTTAAAAAATCCCCTGTGGACAGCTCCAGCCTTTCCAGATTGGTATCAGGTTTCTGACTGATCAGACAGAGGAGGGGAGTGGGTCACGGACCCGATCCTCCCCACACTCTCATACAGTTTGAAGGACAAAACAAGCAGCTCATCTAAGAAGAAAATTAGCTTGAATCATTTCAATCAACTTCTTACTCTTATTTCTGCTTGTTAGGATATATTTCAAACACAGTACACAAATCCATAAGTAATACCATAATAAATTAAGTGGCTATATTTAAAGTGATGCTGCAGCAATTAAAATGATGAATTTGCTGTAACTCTGCCTTCAACATGTCCCTGTTTTTGTATTGATCAAGTACCACTTGCTTCATAGGTCTGTGTTTGCAAAAATAATCAAAAGCAACAAATAAAATATAAATCTGTAAACTAGAAAATCCAATGTTGCTGTATTTTTTTCTTAAGCAAACAGGATAAGAGGCTAGAATAGCTTTAACAGCTCATCGTAGTTTGAAAGATAAGGTAGAATTGAAATCTCTTTTATTCAAACAATCAGCATCCCAGTAAATTGTGCAGAGACACTGATTGACTGATCTTTTATTACTGAGATGAAAAATGGAGGAAAGCAGATTTATAATTTAAAATACGACACATCTCAAAGTTTCCGGGCTGCACGTTGTCGCAGTGGGGAACACTGTTGCCTTGAATAATAATAATAATACATTTTATTTAAAAAGGCGCCTTTCTGGACACTCAAGGTCACCGTACAAAACATAAAAAGTGTCAGAGGCAAGAATATTCTAGGTTTGATTCCCCACTCGGGGTCTTTCTGCATGGAGTTTGCCTGTTCGCTCTGTGCATGTGTGGGTTCAATCCAGGTACTCTGACTTCCTCCCACAGTCTAAAAACATGACTGTTAGGTTAATTGGCTTCTGTGAGGACCATTTTTCCAATTTCAACATCAAAATGAGGACCAGTTGTTGCAAAGTGAGGACATTTTAGCCAGTCCTCAAATGCTATTTTGCTAATGGTTATGTTTAGGGCTAAGGAGTCCATTGGTTAGGGTTAGGGTGAGGTATGCATTTGTAATGGTTTAGGGTTAGTTTTAGTGTTAGGGCATACAAAGGGTTGAAAATGACTAAAATTAAATGGAAGTCAATGGGAGTCAATACATGGTCCTCACTACCATTGCAGAATGAGTATGAGTGTGTGTGTGCATGCATGGTTGTGTGTCTCTTCATTGGCCTGTGACAGGCGACCTGTCCAGGGTGTACCCTGCCTCTCGCCCATAGACTGCCGGAGAAAATGGATAGATGGATCTCAAAGTTTCCATAAAGTTTAGGTTAAAATGTCTCATGTGTTGAACACTGGTGGCTCTAGGTATTAGTTGTTGGATAATGTGAAACAGTTTACCTTTCCTTGAGCAATGATGTAAAAGGTACTGCCCTCCTCTCCCTGCCGGATGACATATTCTCCTTTGTCATAGTACTCCTGAGGGGAAAGGGGTAGAGAGCAAGGGGGTTATAAAGTTGTCAGAACTACAGCATCTCATTGATTTAACCACTGATTCTGTCATGATAATTCCTGGTAGCTGATCCCCTGTGGGATAGTAACTGGAGCTTAGCCAACAGTGTTGCTGTATCCACATAGCTGCTAACTTAAGGTAATTAGTAACAACAGTAAGTATTTATATCAGCCCATATGAGAGTTATTTGGTGGTGGTCCATTTTGGGGTTTTACAGTAGAGGGACAGAAACATTTGATCAGTTTAAACAAACATGCACCAAAAGGAACAAAAGATCCAAGGTATAAAACCTTTCCAGCTGACAACAGAACTAAAATCTTATTCTATTACAGTGATCAATTCACTGCTACTAATCGCTGCTACTAATCTCAAACTTGTTCTCTTTTTTACTTCTTAAAATCAGTTAAATTAGCTGCTAAATAAATACAGAGCTCTAAGTAGGGAAGTCCTCAACTATATATTTTAAAGCTGACCATTTATCCAAACAGCCACCATCTGAGCAACTGTTCAGATATGACTTGACTGACAAAATGATTGGAGGAAAAGGCAGCAGTGCTGGGCTGCACAGAACTTTGACGGATGTTGATTTCTGAGCAGTTTCTCGTTCTATGAAACAGGAAAAGGAGCAGCATGAGGTTTTAGACCTGTAGCACAATGATAAAAAGCAATAATTCCTCTACCACTGTCAAAACCAGGCACTGGCCCATTCTGGATCATCAAAACATCCTGGATCATGTCACACTTCCACAATTGTTGTTTTTAGTTTTCGTCTGAATAAAATGAAGTGCAACAGTTCTTCTGTGGTTGTTTAAGGGAAATATAACAACTGTGCAAATGCAAAGCTCAATTATTCTACATGCAGTATCCTGCAAATAAACACATTTCATGATAGGACTATTTAGATGTAAGCGTATATAAACAGAGTATTTGGAGGGTTGCTTGTTTTTGTCAATAACAATACATTTAAATTAAGAAATTTTTATGCATATAAATATAAAGATCCTCCTTTATGCAGATGATTCTGTAACAGATTATGAAGGCAATTTCCTTGTATATCAGACACACAGTCTGAAACACTGAAGGAAAATAAATCAAGGTTAAAACTGTATTTTGGATCCAAGAAAATTCATGAATGTGAGATCTGAGTAAATTTGAACAGGGAAAAATCAAGATGGCTAGGTTACTGGGTCAGAAGATCTCCAAGGTGGAGAGCATATGTTGGCCTGTGTGGCCTGATCTAACAGATGATCTAATGCAACTGAAATTGCTCAAAGGTGTTATTTCTGCATCTGATAGACAACGTGTAAGCATACACCCTAGACCACCTGTTCCATATATGTATAGTTTTAGACCTCTCATGTTGGAAATGGATACTACTGTACCTGCCACAAAACATGAACGGCTCAGGAATCATTTGAGGAGCACAACACTGAGTCTGTGGTGTTGACTTGGCCCAGAGTTCGCCAGATCCAATAAAATCGTGTCTGGCATCTTAAGACCCTCCTCTCAACCTGCAGGACTTAAAATATCAGCTGAAAACATCTTAGTGCCACAAACCATAGCATCAACGTTTAGGGTTTTGAAGAGGTTTGTGTCACATGGCATGGAGTACTAATGCACATTTAGGCAGGTTGTAATAATGTGTCCTTACTGGTATATAGACTGATGGAATTGTAAATTATATACAATAAGATTTTATTGTTATTAACATAAACCATTGTGTGGCTTTAAGACATGTAGGTAACAAAATGGATGACGAGTAGCCTGAGCTTTAACCTGAGATGTTCATCTGTTAATTACATTTAGAATACTGTTTAAGAATTAAAGTTTAATCTCCACTATCATAACATTACTGTTACACTGTATGTATTGAAGAAGTACATTTAACTGTTAATGAACTCAGGTATGTGCAAGAATGTGGTACTTTGGTAAAACAGCAGTTTCTGGAACTCCTCCATCCACCTCTGTTTTGTGTGAAATGCAGCTGCAGCCTGACCTTAGCTGTATATGGAAACCATCTATCAAAGAGCTATTTCATGTGTAAACACCAAAATCAGGAAGACAGACTTAATGAGACAAGTAGAGAGTTGGTGAAAACATTTTAGAGTACTGTTGAAGTCGTAGTAACAAGTAACATGTGACCCCATAATGAAAAGTGTTATTTTACCTCCTGATAAGGTAAAAAGATCAGTCACACTTCCCTTTTGTTAAAATCTACAGCTGGGAAAAAAAGTTGAGTCCTTCTTGAGTTGTTTTAATGTTTAGTTTTATTTAAGGTCACTCATAAAACTGACTGACATTGAGACATTAACTCTCTGTCCCTTTCTTTTTGTCTCAAATACTTTTTTTCTTTTGGAGTCAGTACCTATAATTTGTCTATCTAAACGGGCGAGCCAAATCAACAGATTCATTTTCTTTGTAAAACATCTGAAGTAAAAGTAAAAGTGTGCAAAAAGCAGAAATATGGTGACCAGAATGAAATACACTCTGGGATCAATGCCAACTTGGAGCAGGTGAGAACATGGTCCACTGATGTAATCCTTTTGACTTTATGGGACACTGTCGAAACAAAATCATAGCAACCCTGTGTAAACATTCCCCGGTGTTTACTGTCAAAGCTCTTGACACAAGTGGCATTTTCCTTGGGCGTCCTCAATTGTTTACCTCCCGTTTACGCTTCAGGAGAGCCTAGTTTAACGCCAGGCTGTGACAGCGGAGACAACATGCCAAGGTTTTGTTTATAGAGCCTGTCCGGATGATACAGAAGCTGTTCAGTGGATGGACAGCATCTGAGCTCTGTCTTGGGTTTTTTGTAACAGACTGCAAACTCAGAATTTTAAATAAGCTAAATTTTCCTAGAAGAAAAATACATCATCAATAAGAAACATAAAAGTGGATATTTCCTAATATAGTGTAATCTGAGCATCCACAGCATTAACGTCCGCCATCTTTGTTTAATCTCTACTACTGAATTCCACTTATTTGGTTTGCTTATGTCAGAGGTGTACATCGACACTCACACTTTACTTCCTGTGTCTATATTAGGTTTGACTGCAGCTCAGTTATTTTAACTGACTTTCCATCGATTAGCCTCAGCTTTTATTTTAACAGCATGTCTCTGTGGTCTTCTAGAGGCACTCAATTGTGGGTAAACCAATTTTAAGACTACACAGATCTTCAGCAGCTGTTTTTCTCTGCAGGGTAACTAAAGATTGTCAGTGTTGATGTTTTTGCTTAAAAATGGGACGTAAAAGAGTTGTCAGACAGGTAACACTCAGCACTTGAGTAATTTGTCATATGCCATCAGTGTTTCCAGCCAATCACTAATATAAAAGTTGTGTCATCATGAAAACCTCAGCTAACGCTGGCAGAGTTACCGATAACAGTGATCAGAATCTGAGGTAAGATACAGTCTGGAAACTATAACTTTCTTTACCAACTGTCTGAATCACTAAAGAAAAGAAGGTAAACTACCTTAGTTTGGGTGTGTTACAGCAAAGTTTGGATAAACTGTTCCCTTTTATAACAGCAATTTGATATCGGATATTGGAGATCCAATCCAGTGCACTTTACATGGAACTGTTATTTCTGTCATTTTGCTGTTTATTTGTTTGGAAATACTATGAAGAACATTTATATCTTTGTTAATTTGTTCCTTTATTAACAATGTTTACTTCAAGGCTACGACCTTTGCTCACATGCCGAATCATATGGTTCATTTTTATTCAACTGTTGAATCTGATCTGTATCAGATATGCTTAGCCCAGGTATTGAAAAAAACTGGATTGATGCATCTCTACTTTAATGTGGTGGTAAAAAGTTTGAAGTGAGTTACCCACCACACAAAAAGGAAGAGAGTTGCAGCTAGCATGCTGATCAATGCATGTAAGTAGAAGTTAGGACTTTTCCAAACAACAGAAACAATAAAGTCTTGTGAGAATATAATCTGAAAAATCAAGCCTTTAAGATCATGAAAGCAATGAAACCATAAAGAGAAATGTTTACATTCTTGTGTTTAGTGCAAAGAAAAAATCAAAATAAAATCACAATATTGGTTAATAAAAATAGCCATTTGAATTTTTTGCAAAATCATTCAGCTCTATTTTTAAAAAAGGTTTTTGTGCACTCCACCACATGAAAAGTCAACTGCCGTATATTACAATTGTTATGTTGTAATGTTGTAGTTTATAAAATAAACTACAATCTCCTTTAAAAATATAGTTTTATAAATTTCGGTGCAATTACTTATTCTGATTTGTAAAAGAATTCAACTATCCATAATTAAATTTTCATTACAACTGTTTAACTGTTAATAAAAACTCTAAATCAAGTCACAGACTGCATCACACTAATAACACCAAACTAAAAAACTGCATATTTGCACCATTTATATTAACGCTCTGAACTTCCATATCAATGCGTTTTGCACCATGTTTTTTTCTCCCAAACTGTTTACATTTCATCATTGCTGCACTTTATGAGATGGAAATGTTCATTTCCATCTCAAAATTTACTGGGTATCTGTTAAGCTCAGCTGCAGCCTGTCAGGTTTTATTCTATTGCCATATTGTTTCATTATTACAATTATTGTTTTTGTCTATTGTACATCAGATATTGTAGGGTGCTCTGCATTTGTTAGATAAACGTACTTGTAAAAGGGCAGAATTAGAAATATATTCAGGTTAACAGTTGGGTAGTTTAATTGGATAGATAGAGAAATGGATTGACAGAGATAATAATCATGTTTAGAAAGAGAAATCTACAAAATCGCTGTGTACAAACCCCGTTGTTGTGAAAAAAACAAACAAAAAGGAGACGCAGATATTAAGGAAACAGGTCATATGTATTTATGGTCGTTCTACTGAAATCATCATATCTTCAAAACACTTTTTTAAATAAAAACTAAGTTAAAAATCAAATTTATTTTTTGAGAATTCAAATTACCTCCCAGGGATTACTTAAATGTTAGGATGCCTTTTCATACACACAGATACAAGTGAAACACACCAGATTCCATTCACTGACAATTCTCCTTCTCCAAAAAAAAAAAAAGAAATTCTAAATGTTCACAGAGAATTGTAGTGATTCTCTGTGAACATCTGCTCCTTTCTCAGGTTTCAGTTGGCCCCCTGACAGGCAGAATGCTTCAATAACAAATGTCTGAATAGAAGAATTTTACCCACACTTGAGAGTAGTGGGATAATCAACCAATGTAACAAATGTCCTTGAAGTTTGTGCTGAAAAGATGCTGAGAAAAGCAGATTTTTGACCCGACGCTGACAGGTTCTGCTCCGTTTTTGCCTTTTTGAAGCTGAAATATGATGCTTCTGCAGGAAAAGATGGAGATAACCCGGCTCTCCAGCTTGTTTCACAGCTACGCACACAATTTCACACACTTGTGTCATCTCACACCAAAAGCCTGTCACTGGCACATCTTTAAGAAATCACTCGTCCCCCATTTGAATAAACACTTTCTGGGGCCTTAGTCAAATAATTAGGGTAACAATATACAGCACCCGGCGATGACAGGAATATCGGCCCCGTTCATCAACAAGGTAAATCTGGGGGTTCTTGCCAACTAGAGCTAGAATGAATATGCTGACATGCAGTAATGGTATATGGCCAAATGGTAATGATATTTTGACAGCCGCTATCTGCAATGCTCCTGAGTCCCAGGAGCTGCCAAAGAGTTGTGCAATTTATGTAAAAGTCAAATTGTCCTTCAACTAGAAATGGAGATAGTTTGACAGAATAACTTACCACCTCCAGGCAGTCCACTATTTTGCTTAGCTTGTCATCGGGTAGATTAGCCAAGAGTGAAACACTGACCAAAAAGAGAGAACAGAAAAAATAGGCTTCACATTCTAAGTTAACCCATAGATTTATTTTAAAGTTGCAGCTTCATAAACAGAAGTCAGGAGTGCTCATACACAAATCGCAAACAGGAAATGCTGTTCATTCTATTCTGACAAGGATTAATTTGTACCATCTTTGCTCCAGACTGGGACAGCTATACAATAAAAATGTTAGAGGCTTTTAAAATGTACCAATTGAAGCTAGTATTTTCAACTCAACAGCATTAAAATCGTTTGTATGACAGATTCACTGGACTAACTGATATTCAAATACATACGTACATGAGCAGAATTTGGTTAAATGTCTCTTAGAAAGCGGAACCTCAGCATAGGCCTTTTTTAGCCACCATTTTGATGCCCAAAAAAAATCAGACAGTTAAACATGAGTCCTCAAAGACAGTAATCAACTTGTTTATACTTCTCTATCTAAATATAGCACAATTAAATAAGGCCATTAGTGGGACATTAAAACCTAACTACCTCCTGAGGAAGTATTTGATTCAGGTGTGTTGGACCACTGAATTCAAGCCAATAACATCTGTCTCGTCAATCTAGCTGTACTTCAAAATCAAACTTAAAGTGTTGTTTTTGGAACAAGGATGGTTCTGTTTAGGTAAGATGATGGGATTTAAAAGATAATTAAAAGTCCAATTAAAGATTTAATGCATGGCTGTGATGAATGTATTGCACCCTTTGGCCACAACTTAACCTCTCAGAGCTGTATTTTTCAGATGACGTTAACTCTCTGGCTCAGCCTTGAGTCTGACCTTCGGAGGAAGTTGCGGTATTGCTCGTGTCGTGTCTCAGCCGTCCTCCTCATGATATTTTGGAACGCTTCCCGATCCAAAGCCCACGTCCTCACTTTGTTCACAGCTATAAAAAGAAGCATAAATTGCCTCAGGAAGGAGGAAGTGACTGTGACAGTTTGACATGAATCAGTAGCAGAGATAATGTTCCACCGCTTTTTCTGCTAGATCTGTTATCCTGCTGAGCCAAACTGTCAGAGTCTTTCCAGTTCTCCCAGAACATTGAGGTCGCACCTTCCTGAAGGTCCACAGGTTCCCCAGTAATTGGTTATATATACAAACATAAACGAACAGATCTACAGTACATGGTGTTTTACTTCTCACATGTCAAGGAGGTCAAAAGAAATCAGGATGCAGCACTGTGGGTATCATGTAAAGCTTGTGTCAACACAACCAGGGAAAAAGCATACCAATTCATCATTTCCAGTTTCCCAGAGCTTTAAGAAGTCAGAAAAAGAGCTCAGAGGAAGTCAGATGACTTTCATAAGTATTTTAAAGGTTTACTTAAGGATATGATTTAGGACAAACCAGCCATCCTGACCTTGCATATCCTGCTCTACAGTCATGGATACAAAATACACTGGAAAAACAATCTAGAAATAAGTAAAAAGTCTTAAATATGATTAAGTAAATGACATAGTTTGCCAATGGAATAAGTATTTCTACTCTTGAAATAAGATAATTAGATGTAATTCACTTGAAATACAATAAGACAATGCAATTGTGTTTTCTTAGTATCTTCAGCAAGACTTAACAGTGTTTAGAAGAAAGTTGCAAGATCGAGTGACAAGTTGATGGAGCTGAGGAAATATCAGAGATAATAGGATTCACTGAACCCTGGTTAAAATCAGCAAAGGAAATACAGTATGGGACGAAGCAAGAAAAAGCACAAACAACATAAAAACTCATACTAAATCGTTTTTAAAAATGTTTAACAGTGTCCTGTCTGGCAATAAGAATAATTGTCTTGATGCCAGTTGAGTGAATTTGAATTCATCCCCTTTTGCTCCAATTCCCTTCATCAAAATCAGCACCAACCAATTGCCTTTAGGAGACTGCCAGTGTGTTTTCTTACCACAATTTAAATTCAGCGGTTAGATTGTTTGGAGAAAAAACTAACAATCGTGCAAGAATTTTCCAAATGGGCCCAGTTTCAGCCTGATTGTGCGTCCTGTGTCGTGTAGTATGCAGGGGGTAACGAGGGGCGATTAGACTCTAACAACCACCTCCCGATCGGGAATCATAAGATCGGGAGAAAATTAAACATGTTCGAAAATTAGTCGGCTGTCGTAAGGTGCTTATGGACAAACCCTGCTGCTGAAGCAGAGCTATGAGTTTCTACGAGCCGATTGACCAGAACCTCGAGCACTACGCCTGTGCAAACAAGTGAGTTCTGCTTCTTCTCCATCCAGATTGACGAGTCCAACCAGCGCCATCTATCGGCGCTGAGTCCGACGTGTAGTTTTTGGATGTGCAATGTGAGCAGGTAGATCGCATCAGAGCGTCGGGCTGCACAGTGTGAGAACATGCATCTTGAGCTGCGAACTGTTAAACCCTACAGTTTTGCCCTACAGTTTGAGCTGTACCTCTGTGCAACAATTGAAAATATATCAGTGTATGCCCAGCTTAAATTGACAGCTCAAGCAAGGTGAGAGTTTATCAGAGAAGTAGCCAAATGCCTGAGCTAACTCCAAAAACCTGGCCTATATTAAAAAGAGGGGAGAGGATAGCTAGAGGAAGTGAATTTAAAGTTTAACACTGGTCATCCAGGGAGATAAAATGAGGGTGAAGGTTCCCTGGTTAGATGAGATCGAATAAAACTTATTTGCTTACATGCGGAAAATTAATTATGCATCATCAACCTGGGATCATTAAAGGTGAAACATAGGTTTTAGAAGTGCTGCGTTTTGAGACTGGGGAAGATACAGCTGCATCAAAGCATGCTCTTTTTTTATTTTCATTTGAGCCACTCAATATACAGACCCATGTCCCATTTCAATCTTTGGAAAAATGTAAAATTTGGCTGTGTTTGAGCTGTTCTTTAAATAACATTGGGTAAATACTTCCATGTCCAGAAGTGCAAAGATAGTGAAGACAAACTATCTGGAATCACAATGAACAGTGCAGTAACCTTCACAAAGTATTGATTCCATGAGTCTGAACATGATAGTCCCTCACTTTTCAATATTTTGAATGTAAAAATTAGAAAACTATCAGATAAAACCTCAGTAAAATACCTGAGTTTGTCAAGTGTGTCAAATTTGTAGTATAAAAAGTTTAAACCGTTTTAGTGCATTTAGAAAGCACAGAACACTAGAAAACTAATTATAGATGGGGAAGACAGGGTTAAAAGCTATTTTTTTTATCTTTCTTAATAATAGATTTGCATTTAAGACTTAATACTTATTTAATCCATGTTTGTTGTTAAGAGTCGATTCTGGGTGAACTTCTTTGAGCTCAGAGCCTCAAACTTGAAAGGTCAGGTTTAAATAGACAATTTGGAAATAGGTCTGCTAACCAAATGGCCCAAACTGTTCTGTTAGGACACAATATGTTTGATCCAGCCTGTCACAGTGCTACCCCCAGAGGGCTCACTCTGTGTGGCAGTGATCACTTCAACCTATAAACATAAAAAAAAAAATCAACAACAATCAGTGTATCTGCAAAGACAACTCTTCACCTCGGACTGATGCTGTTCGTGTGCAGTTGTACAGGATGGCTAACTCCCCAAACGTGGTCCACACTGCTATTGATGTAAGCAGTTTGTTCTGCTGAAACACCTCCAGCTTTCCATCTGAAAAGAAAAAAAAATGAAAAGAATCTTTGATTTATTCCAACAAAAATATGTACAAGCAACAACAACATAAACTAGAGGAAAATACTTGCAGGTAGTGGCTCAAAGATTAGATATACATTGGAAAAAGACAGAATAAACAGACCTCTGAGATAGGAAAATAAAATATGACACATCCAAGATCCATAAGTACATCAAGGATAAGGCTCCAACAGACGACATGCTCAGTGAATGTCTTAGACAATGGGGAACAGAAGAGGATAAGCCCATACACGGGATGAAACACAGAAACATAACCGAAGTGGTGGATATCAGGAAATCCTACCAATGGCTGGACAAATCCAGACTGAAGGACAGCACAGAGGCAGTCATCATTCCTGCACAGGAGCAGGGCCTGAGCATCAGAGCAATAGAAGCCCAGATCTACCACACCAGACAAGACCCCAGGTGCAGACTGTGCAAAGAGACCCCTGAAAGAATCCAGCAGATAACTGCAGGGTGTAAGATGCTGGCAGGGAAAGCTTACATGGAGGCCATAACCAAGTGGCTGGAATAGTGTACAGGAACATCACTGCAGAGTATGGGCTGGAAACTCCACAGGCAAAGTTGGAAATACCTCCAAAGATGGTAGAGAATGATCAAGCAAAGATCCTGTGGGACTTCCAGATACAGACGGACCAAATGGTAATGGCAAAGCAACCCGGACATTGTGGTGGTGGAGAAAAAGCAGAGGAAAGCCGTTGTGGTTGACATAGTAATACCAAGTGAGTGCAACATAAGGAAAAATAAACATGAGAAACTAGAGAAATATCAGGGGCTCAGAGAACAGCTGGAGAAAACCTGGAGGGTCAAGTCATCACTGGTGACCGTGGTCATTGGGGCACTCGGGATGATTACAGTAACCCCCAAAGTTGAGGAGTGGTTACAGCAGATCCCTGGAAATACATCAGACTTCGCGGTCCAGAAAAGAGCAGTTATAGGAACAGCAAAGATACTATGCATAATTCAGCACACTGTAGGTACTTGAGGCAGAAGATGTCTTTCAGTCATCAATGCATAACTTCAGCGACACATAGGAGCTCTTTCAAGCTGGGCACCGTTTCATTCACAACACCTGTCCCATCAATCCCCATTAATCCATCTGTAATAGACTGGACTATAGGACCCGTTTGATATAACACAATTTCATATAACATATATAATTAGGGATCCCCACTACATCTTGCCATCAGTTTGGGGGTACTTGGCCTGGAAAACATTGAAGACCCCTGCTATAGAGGAATCAGAGCCCCAGATGAGGATGTTAATGCCAATAACAATGTGTAGTGTTCCAAGTCTCTTCCCTAGAATGTGCTGTAGACCCAATCATTTTTTTTTTTTTTTTTTTTTACTTCTCCTTTCTGTCCTTCTTCTTCTGTCCTCTTAACTACCAATCAATTAAGGCAAACTGTGTCTTATACCAAACATTCTGGAGTCTAAAGGCCTACTAAGATTACTTTACCAACTAGCATTTTATGATAAACTGAATTTGCTCAATGTGTAACTGATTCTTAACACACCAATATAGGTTGTGGTGAAATTAATTAGATTTTTTTGTATTGAATTCATTTCATTTAGTATAATTACACATTAGTCATAAACTTCCAACAGATAGTATGTGCTGTAAATTAGCTTAGTGATGAAAACTGGAATATCTGCTCTTTTGTTTTTACCATTCTTTAACATCCATTATCTCCATAGGGAGCATCAAACTTCATATTGAGCTGTACTTCCATGACCTTTATCTGTGACCCCAAAGATCTGCTTTAAAATATCTATTTTTTATCACAGCTTCTTAGGAGATAATTATTAAGATCAAATGAGAGGTGAGTTTATGTTGAAATTTGACCAGGTATCTTCAGGGGGAGACTTTGATTGTCTGTGGTAAGTGTTGGTACTGAGGAATCCCTGCCTTCAATAATTTGCTGTTTCTTACTTATTATTTGTGAAATCTAAAGATTCCTGAATCTTTTTACTGCATGTTAAATAGTTCTGAGGAACAAAGTCCACAGACTAAACTTTGTAATTTTTTGCTTCACTGCTGCCCTTTTATTTTTTAGCCAACAGAAATGATCTATTCCACAACTTCTTCTCTGTTGAGATTCACGTGATCTTCAGAAGGAATAATTTGCACTGACAACAACGCTGTTACAATTATTGACAGGGATGCATCGATATGAAAATCTGGGCAGATATTAAAATACGGTTACAGCCGATAAAGGTATTTACAGATATTCTAAATCATATACTTTTCAACCCTTTGCCTCACAATCACTGTCACGTGACCAGACAAATACCTCACAACCAAACCCCTACTCTCCTCCTCCTAAAGGGAAAGTTACATGGGAGTAAACATTGGTTGCTAATATCTGCCTATATTTACTTATCGGACCGATATTCTGAAAACTGAATGACACTGGCCAATACCGATATTAATGCGCATATATCGAGCACTCTTGATTTATAAATATGATAGAAAGATGCAGGGAAGGTAACATTCCAGATGCTGTGAGGACAAACATACCTGCTAGAACAAATAGATGGTTCCCAGGTTCTCCCTGCTTGATCACATACTCTCCCTGCTGGTAGGTGCACTCGTACATGCACTCCACCATGTCTTTGATCTGCTGCAGTTCCAGCCTCCTCAGGTACTGGTTCTTGATCAGGGCATCTGTCAGCAGCTTCTTTACACTGTCAAACACATCAGAAAACACAGAAAGGGTTCAACGAGCACCTTTATTATTAAGGAGCTGAAAGAGGATTAACATTTTCTCCTATTGAGGTGTTGCTCTATTGATGTTAAGCCCATCTTCCAGATGAAGACAGAATATCTTAAACACTTTTTTTCAAGTGTAAAACCTGACACATGACAGGCAAAAGAACCAGGTACAGTATGATTCATTGGTGCTGAATATATAGAGCAATATAACTAATTTAACAGTTTCTACATTAGACTGTAGTTTATACAATATTAATGCCACACCGCTATTTAGAATGTAATATTTGGTGGCAATTATATTTCAAACGCTTCCCTGTCAAATAAAATGTTCAGCCTGTTATTTTGCCTCATAAGGGTTGATAATTATTACTCTAATAAACACAATAATACCTGAACAACTGTTTTTCCAATAGATTTACTTCCATTATCTGTTATTTCTATCAAAATCTCTGTGGTAATCTAAATATCCAAGAAAAGGGGAAAAGTTAAATAAAACTGGAATGGGAAAACATGTTTTCATAGCTCTATCACTGCCCCTCATCAACTTCCTGTAGTATTTTGGACAGGACTGGAGAAATGATCAGACACATCCAGCTCCATTACAGGTGCTGGTCATAAAATTAGAATATCATGAAAAAGTAGATTGATTTCAGTAATTCCATTTAAAAAGTGAAACTTGTATATTATATTCATACATTACATACAAACTCATATATTTCAGATGTTTATTTTGTTTAATTTTGATGATTACAAATGACAACAAATGAAAATCTCAAATTCATCATATCAGAAAATTAGAATATTGTGAAAAGGTTCAAAATTGATGGCCCCTGGTGCCACACTCTAATCAGCTAATTAACTCAAACCACCTGCAAAAGCCTTTAAATGGTCTTTCAGTCTAGTTCTATAGGCTACACAATCATGGGGAAGACTGCTGACTTGACAGTTGTCCAAAAGACGACCATCGACACCTTGCACAAGGAGGGCAAGACACAAAAGGTCATCGCTAAAGAGGCTGGCTGTTCACAGAGCTCAGTGTCCAAGCACATTAATAGAGAGGTGAAGGGAAGGAAAAGATGTGGTCGAAAAAAGTGTACAAGCAAGAGAGATAACCGCACCCTGGAGAGGATTGTGAAACAAAACCCCTTCAAAAATGTGGGGGAGATTCACAAAGAGTGGACTGCAGCTGGAGTGAGTGCTTCAAGAACCACCACACACAGACGTATGAAAGACATGGGTTTCTGCTGTCGCATTCCTTGTGTCAAGCCACTCTTGAACCACAGACAGCGTCAGAAGCGTCTTGCCTGGGCTAAAGAGAAACAGGACTGGACTGCTGGTGAGTGGTCCAAAGTCATGTTCTCTGATGAAAGTAAATTTTGCATTTCCTTTGGAAATCAAGGTCCCAGAGTCTGGAGGAAAAGAAGAGAGGCACTTCATCCACGTTGCTTGAAGTCCAGTGTAAAGTTTCCACAGTCAGTGATGGTTTGGGGTGCCATGTCAACTGCTGGTGTTGGTCCATTGTGTTTTCTGAGGTCCAGGGTCAACGCAGCCACATACCAGGAAGTTTTAGAGCACTTCATGCTTCCTGCAGCTGACCAACTTTTTGGAGATGCAGATTTCATTTTCCAACAGGACTTGGCACCTGCACACAGTGCCAAAGCTACCAGTACCTGGTTGAAGGACCATGGTATCCCTGTTCTTAATTGGCCAGCAAACTCTCCTGACCTTAACCCCATAGAAAATCTATGGGGTATTGTGAAGAAGAAGATGCAATACACCAGACCCAACAATTCAGAAGAGCTAAAAGCCACTATTAGAGCAACCTGGGCTATCATAACACCTGAGCAGTGCCACAGACTGATCGACTCCATGCCACGCCGCATTGCTGCAGTAATACAGGCCAAAGGAGGCCCAACTAAATACTGAGTGCTGTACATGCTCATACTTTTCATGTTCATACTTTTCAGTTGGCCAACATTTCTATAAATCCTTTGTTTTTATTGGTCTTCAGTAATATTCTAATTTTCTGATATGATGAATTTGAGATTTTCATTTGTTGTCATTTGTAATCATCAAAATTAAACAAAATAAACATCTGAAATATATGAGTTTGTATGTAATGTATGAATATAATATACAAGTTTCACTTTTTAAATGGAATTACTGAAATCAATCTACTTTTTCATGATATTCTAATTTTATGACCAGCACCTGTACATGTTTATAATCGTTTCCCCCTGTTCTTCTTCCTCCACAGCCCACACTGATCCAACAAAAAGCCACCAGCACTCCCACATCCTCGTTAGTCACCGCTTTAATTTTTTTTTCACCTGCACGATTAATACTTCTGTCTCATATAAAAACAATGACCGTTTGCACTGACAATGAATCACATAAAAGCAGTGAGCGCTGTATCATCATCAGTTGTCAATGTTCGTAGATATTTATTTGAGCAGCAGCAGCAAATGCCTCAAAACAACTGCATTATTCCCGGAGGGAAAGCTGAAAAGACTTGAAGCTACCGTTTATATAGGAGTTACTTTTACTAGTGGGTGATCTGTTTATTCACCTCATTATGTGTCATAAATTTTCACTTTAAGCTCTTTTGCAATCAGCTAAGATTTTTCTCCCGATGTCCTTTGCTGTTATCTTGGCAAGTCATTATTCTGCAATATGTCACAGTTATCCAGGGAACAGCAGGATGTTTCAATAGGTGCTTCAGACTGTGGTTATATAATCTACACACGGATTATTAGCAACATATGTTTTAAACATGAGGATTGCACAAGGAGGGAGACGCTGCATGCATTGTTCAATCATACAGCAATCGTGCTGTAGAATGACAAAAGGTAATTTGCCCTGTGTCTTAGAAATGCAAAGCAGGCTTGCTGCAGCTGATATCAATATGTGTAACTGATGTTTCTTATGCATTAAATTACGGCTCAATAGGAGGGTCTTCAGTCTTTCCACTGTTGTTGGTCATTAAAATATCCTTTGTAGAGTTTAGCTACACAAACACAAAAATATTTATATTTTGGTTTAAAATCTTTTTAAAAGCTCTCTTTTTTAACATCATTCAACATGATCTAAGAAGACAGTATTACATAATAATTTATTTTTTTGTATCTAGTTTACACATTTAAATGAATTTTAACATTTTGAGCAGCAAAAAGCCAGAAGTCCAAAACCTTCACGCTAAAAAATTAGTAGATCCTGATTGCAAAAGCTCTCAGGTGTGATTTTCCGTTTGACCACCAGCCTCCTATATCAAGGTGAGTAAATTTTCAACCACTCTATACAACATTGCTGCATTTCGTTCAGGTCTGAAGATCTTTTGGTTTTTGTGGTTCACAGCATCATAATCAGGTTGAGGTCTAGACTTTGACTGAGCCATCTATTCAATCCTTGAACAAAACATATATTGCTCTTGTGTCATTGTCATCTCAATGACCAAGTTTGGGTCAAGCTGCAGGTTTGGACACATGGATTTGTTTTACTATAGAATACTTTGGTAAACAGAGGAGTTCTAGTCAGGTGCCAAGTTCCCACGGCTGAAAATCAAGCCTATATTCTTACCTTTTGACCATCTTATCTTATTATTTGTATGAGGTGTTTATGCTCTGTTCGTTTTTGTCCAAATCTGATGCTCTGCATTAAAGCCAAGCAACTTTAATTTGGTCTCTGCTTTCCAAGAGACATTGTTCTCATTTAGCGGCAACGTTTTAGACCTAATTGGTGCTGCCTTTGTAAAAGAAATAACTTTACCCTGTTAAGCATGTAGGCATATGGTCAGACGTGTTAAGATGACTTGTTGTGAATTGGTCATTATATTTAAATTGAATTAAATTACAGAGGGATATTTGTGACAACAACCTCTGACATGGGAGCAGGCTCGGAGTTCATCTCCCTGGCTGTGTGTTTCCTGGATGGGGCCGGCTTTTACAGGTGCTTTCTGTATCTCTGCTTCTGTCTCCTTGAACCCCAGTCGGCCTCAGCAGATGGCCGCTCACACTGAGCCTGGTTCTGCTGGAGGTTTCTTCCTGTTAAAAGGCAGTTTTTTCTCTCCACTGTCGCTACAAGCGTGCTCAGTGTGAGGGATTGCATTCGAGTCAATGAGTCGATGCAATCAACTGGTTTTCCTTAGACAGAAAACTTTGAATCAATTTGACTGTATGATCTGGTTGAACTGTAAAGCGCCTTGAGATGACATGTGTTGTGAATTGGTGCTAAATAAATAAACTGAATTGAATCAACAATTTAATTGAATATTGAATTAATGTTTAAGCATAAATACAGAGACATGTAGATGTCATAAGAGGAGCAAGAAGCTATAAAGGTTTGGGTTTTTTAACTGTTTGAAACATGTTTCATAGTCATGTGATGAAGTCTGTTCTAACAACATAAGGGAATTACCATTGTTACACAGCTGAAACTAAATGACTTGATTATATAAAGATTAGTTTTATGTTTGATGTCAACAAAAGCAGCATGGACCTGAGCTATGCTAAATAATACTGCTTCAATTCAATTTTCAATTCAGTTTATTTATAAAGCGCCAAATTCACAACACATGTCATCTCAAGGCACTTTACAGTTCAACCAGATCATCCAGTCAAATCGATACAAAGTTTTCTATCTAAGGAAAACCAGTTGATTGCATTGAGTCATTGACTCAAATACAATCCCTCACACTAAGCATGCTTGTAGCGACAGTGGAGAGGAAAAACTCCCTTTTAACAGGAAGAAACCTCCAGCAGAACCAGGCTCAGTGTGAGCGGCCATCTGCTCCTTCAAAATAGGCTTTTTTCCAAGAGTCCCACTGTTCAAACATTAAAATACTTTAATGAGATAAAAATTATGGATTTTCATTTTAATCACCTACATTTTTTTACCCACTGTCTGCACCATGTCAAACAGACTAAATCATTTTTTTTTCACTGTAGCATCCTGTCTCCCATGAGCAATATTCTCAGATCAAATTACTCCCTAAATCCGATAAACCTTTACTGGGGCGGGACATACAGTAACACAGCACTGCAGCAGGAATCAATAAAATTACAGTTCAGTTTTACAGAAAGACAATTATGCTCCCGTCTCATCAGGGACAAACTGTATGTGTGTGTTTCACTGTGAGGTCATCTGTTGACATTTTGATGCCCAAAATAGCAGGTGTTGATTAAGAAAAGTCGAGGTTTCAGCTTTTCTGTATTCTTTTTGACTTGAGCCTTACTCCTTAGATATTTATTAGAAACAACAGTGAGCTTTGACCAGGTAAATGTCCAGGTTGGGTTGGATTGAACCTTTAAATCTAAAGTGACGACCAGCTCCTGAATAATGTTAATAAAAATCTGCACATGCTCTTTGTTTTGTTGCTTGCTTTTCACTTCTCCTCCCACTCACTGCCCACTGAGGTAGCACTGACTGAGCCTCAGGGTGTCCTGCACCTTCATCAGGCTTCTCTCTGTCCTTGTTTATTGCTTCCTCTGAAAACACAAGCATCTCACCTCACATCTTTCGGTACTCGAGCCTTCTCAAAGGAGAACTTTGGTAGACTGCTCGACGTGGGTTCTGCCGACACTCCGGCTTTAGCTCCTTTTCTTCTGTTCATGGTCTCCTTGATGCGGACACTCAGATTGGGGCTGCTCTTTCCACTGGCTTTGACAGAAGGTGGCCTTGAAGGCAGACCAGTCGGGGCCCCGCTCTTCAGCACGTCCTGCAGCTTGTTAAGCTGGATGCACTTGTTCTGGAGTTCCTCGCTGAGCTCAGACAGAACCCGGGTCTGCTTGGCCAGTTGCTCCTGAAGACCTTTGATCTGTTGCTCTTTGGCACATAGTTCCTCATCCTTCCTCTTTCCTTCTCGCTCCAGCTCATCCACTCGGGCCCTCAGGGAGTCCAGCGATGATGTTTTGTGGGCGCTGCATCGCTCTTTGTGAGCTTGGCCATTGGCGGCAGAAACAGAGGTTTCAGTGGGTTTGTAACGCTTCGACTTCATCGAACCATTGCCCATCTTTGGACGTAATGGAGAGATAAAATCTGCAAAAATGATGAAAGACAGTATTTTAAAATCAGGAAATATTTTGGTTTCATTAAATATTTTTTCTGTTGGTATCATTTACTAATAGAAATCAATCAACACAGTCTTTTTTTTTTTTGTAAGGCTGACTCCATGACCAATACCAATTATTTTGACATCAGTCGAACCAAACTCTGATATGTGCTACCCATATTTTTAGGCAGATTCCTGGAGCCTGTATTGCTTGTCCTTCCTCAATTTACATGATAAGAATCACATATTAATAGCAAATATTACACAGATCTTCATTTAAACAAAGAAGAAGCAATCGTAAGCAAATTGAACCATACATTAACAACAGCTGAAAAATGAAGGCCATTGGCGATGCATGCACTCTACAAGATCTCAAGGCTTGGTTGCTGGAGGCACTTATGAATAAGCAAAAACATGCACGTAAATCAAAAGTTTCCGAAATGGGGCAAAAATAATCATCCAGCCTAATGTACTGGTCCCTCAGTAGTTAATGTTATATTACACAGAAAGAATACTTTTGGGGAACGCCTTACTACTCAACTTCCTTTAGCATTTCAAAGTCTAGTCTGACTTATCCACTCAAGAGGTTACACAAGTAGTAAGTTGGATCAAAAGATGTTCCATGAAGGTTTGCCAAGTGTGTAAGAGAACATTGGTGAACAAACAGAATCATAAAGTCCATTTGGTGTACAGCACATCTGCAGACTAACCAAGACATGGCTGTCTACATATGTCCGACTAGGGCAAGAAAACATTAGACATTTTTCCAGATTTTCTGGAGAAACTGTATTAACCTACCGCTTAGGTTGGAGACTCTATCTAAAGAAACTATCAGTTGTGCTTTCTACAGAGCTGCCTTTTATGGAAGAATGGGAGGAGTCACTGTCAAAAGAAATCCAGATAAATAAATTTAAAAAATCTGTTTGCTGTTTGCTGTAGGGATAAAAACACTTTTTGGACAAGCAGTTCACCACATTATTAATACACAATTTCCAATGTGAAATATGGCAGTGGCAGCATCATGCTAAGGGGATACTGTTCTTTAGCAGGGAAAAAAAGCATGAATTAATAAGATCAAAACAAAGCAATAATGAGGAAGACCAAATATTTACAGTCAAAAGAGACTAGTGGAGGTTGATTGTGCAGGGAGACAACAGCATATTTAAATCTCAAGGGACCTGAGATTCTTTAAAAAATACGCATATGTCTCAGCCTTTGTCTTTTATTATCCGTTTAAATGCTGTTTAATCTGTGATTATAGTGTGAGGCGATGGAGGACAGATGCAGACGGCGAATCCAATGTATAATTCTCAATGAAAGTGTCTTGTTCATTTATTATTCAAAAGGCAGGAAGTACTGCATTACATGGACAGGCACTCTCAGTCTGCCTAGAGAGCATCAGGGATACAGAAACATTATCGCTACACAATTATTAGAGAAAACATCTAAAGTCTGATGTCCAGCATATGACTGAGACTGGCAAACATTTCAGAGAACAATAATCTTGCTGTCTGGTCTGCCTCTGCCTACTCACACATACAGATGATTTTATTCATGACATTCCTGCTGAAATACATGGTCAGAAGAGACTATTATCCACACTTAAAGAAATAAAATACAAAATTCAATGTTAAATCTAAAAGAATTAGAACTTTCCTTTCTTTGTTCTTAATAGGCTATATTTTTAAAACTTAAATCAGAGACAAAATATTTTACAGAAAAACTATAAATATTATAAGATGTCGTTTAATTTTTTGCTGTTTTAAGATTGAGCGAATGAAAACGGTAATTGGTGAAGGTTAGCCAATTAAAACATCTAAAGGGCGCGTGCACCTGCAACTTCCGACGCGTCGTCATGCCTTTGATGAGACGGGCGGGGGAATGGATCGGGACCGGGAAGGATCTCGGTTCTTACCTGCTTCTCTATGGGAGCCTTCGGACAAGTCCAGCTGCGGATTAACCAACAGAACCGAGCGGTTTTGACTGAACCATCGGGACAAAACGGTCCCCTTTAACTACTGCTCGGCTGTTCTGCTGACTCTGCGCGCGCGCGCTCCTCACCAGCTGTGTGTGCCGCTTCCTCCGGCACGCGGGCACCGCAACTGACGTCACCGTCGATTTATTTACCTATTTACTAAATAACTCGTGTTATGTCAACATACTGTAAATATATATATATATATATATATATATATATATATATATATATATATATATATATATATATATATATATATATATATATATATATATATATATAATTCCCCATATTGTTGGAAGTATGTTCAATTTTCTTCATTAAAAGAAACTAACAAGTATTAAAAAATTATAACAATTATATATTTGTTTTCATAAATATTTGCTCAAGTTTGTCTTTCTTGTGTCTATCTTGTTAAATAAATTAACTTTATTTTCTAAACATGGTTCAGCATTTATCTATCCATCTTTCTCCTTTCCAGTGATTCTATAAAACAATCAGTTCATCCATCTATTTATCTATTCCTTCATGAAAACTGCTAAGCAAAACATACCACAAAGACCTGTGTCAGAAATGTTACTTTCAGTTCATAAATCCATCAATAGATTAATGACACACAACAAATATTCATAATAATATCTGCTCATTAGAAAAATAGGACACATTTAAGTGTTCAATTCAATTTATCTATATGGTGCTTTGATTCAAAGTTCTATCTGAGGAAAACCAGTTGATTACATTGACTCAAAGGCAAGCATGCTTGTGGCGACAGTGGAGAGGAAAACTCCCTTTTAACAGGAAGAAACCTCTAGCAGAACCGGGCTAGGTATGTTAATTGTTCATGTAAATTGAGACTGCTTGAGCAGCTTGTTTAGGAGAACTGGACCAATTGCCTGTTTTCAAATCCAACTCCCTTTTGATGATGCAGATCATTTGTTAACAGCAGGTGCTAGAACAATGCGAGAATTTTTAGTGGATGATCTCATATGAAATATTCAGACTGAAACTAGTTTGATTTGCTCTCAGATATGGGATTCAGTTAAAGCTGTTTTTATTTCAAGTAAATCCAGAAGTAGGCTTTTTGGTTTATATGAAGGGATTCTAAGAAAATGTAAACATGCTCAACAGGAAGAAGGTTGGTTCATAACTCTGATTTTCATGCATCAGTCGAACTGTCATTCAAGCACCTCTTTTTTCAGTTGGGTATAAAATTCAATAAAATTGATAGACAGAGAAACCAGTATAACACTCAGTGAGATAATGCATTCACACTAGTTGTGTTACCCTCTTGTTTGACTGATAGGTATTTTGATTTTCACAGATGTAAATGACTGCATGCTGCGGTCCTTCACACCAACCAGTGATTAATTGGTTTTTTTCCAGCCTGTGATGAGCTCTGTGGCCTGCAGCTGATTCCACTGACAGAAAAAAAAAATGGCAAGTGGCCAACACCAATTCATTTGCACCACTGAGGACACAGAGAAACAATGATTCAGGTCACTGATGTCCAGACTAAATCTAAAAGGAACAGAGAGGCTGACAGGAGATCAAAAGATGTTTTAAGTCATTAAACAAGAACAGAAAGAAATCATTAAAGAACCCGATAGCAACAGCGAGCGAAAATGAATATTTATCCATCTGTATAGAAACTTGAAACAGTTTTACTTACTGGTATAAATCTGATGAAATCTTCCTGACATCTTGAGAAAATAATTTTTTTGGGGGGGAGGTTGTAAAGGCAGCACAATGTGCTACGAAAATTTGCGGTGTTTGTGTTACACCCACTTTCTCCATCCTGATACTTCAGAAGTTTCAGCAACATGTGTTGATCCATAACAGATGTTCCCAGATGTTTCCAGCTTAAACAGGAGCCTTCCAATGCCTGATGAAATAGAACAAAAGATGCACTAATCATGCTTTTATTAGTTGACTCTGATCTCTAGTTTTGTTTAGGTTGTTACCCTCCCTTATGTATTCGTGTAAACAAAGTTTACACGAATACATAATACATGCTCGCTATCTAGTTGTCTTCTCTTTTTGAGCTGTTGTGGTGCTGAAATGCTTCTTACACTGAACAAACTGTGATAATAGATTAGAAAAGGCATAGTAAATGCAACATCCAGTATTGAATTAAAGATTTTCATTTTTCTTTTAGAATTCAATAATCAAATAAGTATCACCTCTCTGACAGCATTAAGTAGACTGAAATATCTAGAAAAGCAGCACTTGATGTCAAAGTAGTTGACATTTTTCAATCCGGTAATCCTTTTAAAGCACTTTTCAAAGCTTTGGATCTGTTTTAAAACAGCATAGCAGCCATTTTCCACAAACAAAACATGAGGCAGTCAGGATTCAGAACAAGATATTCTGAAAATTGAAGAGAGAAAATGTCTTAGGGATGTGCACCCTCTTACATTAGCAACAAAAAGGAACCATTATAGAAAAAAAGAATGGACATCATTCACACAGTCAAACAGGGTGGTAGTAGTGTGGCGCTCTTAGGCTGCTTTGTTGCTTTCAGAACCTGTATGACTTGCTGTAATACATGGATGGAATTCTGATCTCTGGCATAAAATCTTAAAGGATATTCCAATTTGTAACCTTTTGCTCAAATGTGACAAACTAATGTTTTACAAAGCAGATCAATGATCTAAAACATAACAGAGAGTCTACTGCTAAATGCAAAAAAAGAGGTTTTGGTGGGGCCTAATCATAGTCCAAACTTTAGTGTGACTGAGATGCTTTGCTAAACTCAAAATAACAGTGCGTGAGAGAGTAGCTGTTTGTTGACGCATTTAAAACCCTTAAAAATGCACATTTTTAATTCAGTTGCATTAAACAGGCAGGTAAATCGATTTCAAGGTTTTCAGTATTTGTTCTTATAAACACCTGCTATTGACTAGTTATTCTTTGTCAAAATCTTCAATACATCATGATTTTAAAATTTTGTTAATCTAAAATAATGCTATATTAATATTACTACTGTATCATAACTTGTTGAGCTTCGTTATCCCAGGAAAATACACTTTTCTGAGTGCCTCCTTTTTGCTCCTTGTAATCAAATTGATAGGGAAAATAAAGACTCTAAGCTTTATTCAATAGATTTTTTATTGAAACAGTTGTTTTAAAAGTCCATCAAATGCATGCCTGAACTTAAGGCCATGATCTCTTGAGGTTTAATCGAGGTTAAATGTGATCCCTCATGGGTGCAGACACACAGACAGAAAAAAAAATCAAGCTAATCCAAAATGTTGCTTGTGGTTTGTTTGTTTTTTTACTTTTTGGGAATGACCTGGATGACTGAGAATCTTCATCAACAAGTTGTTTCTATGCATGTTTCATCAAGCTTGGCCTATTAATGATCCTAATTAAACTTCCTGTTGCTTTGCTTAAATCAAGCCTCTTTCAATGTTAAAAAAAAACATGGAGTTTGAATTTAAATTTTTGCTGTAAGGTGCCAAGACAATACATGCAGTTAAACTTGGTCATTTATTTTGTATAATAAATTTTCTTTTTCTTTCTTACTTTTTTATTAATATTGACTTATAATGTTTTTTAGCCTCATAAAGATTCAGATTGGATGAAAATGTCAAATAATAAATTCGAAACGACAAAATCTGAACTATCCCTGAAGCTGTTATATGAAATGTACTTGAACCCTGTAAAACAGACACTGAAGCTTCTGCTTGTATTTACATTTCAAAAATCAGGACACCGTGTGGAGCCAAAGAGCTGTTTTAATTTTCCGACATCTGCAACCTTTTTCATCACAAACAGCCAGCTTTTTCAGTCTCAGTCCAGATAACTAAAATTAGCTTAAAACTGTTATAATATAAGGCCTTTATTTAAAAAATAATAACTTAAAATCGTTTTAAAACTATCTACTATTTATAGATATTTCTAAAGAATTACACTTATTTTGATTTCAAGATTTTAGAATAGAAACAGCATTTTGTGAAGAGATGGTGGATACATTTTCTTCTTTGAAATGTTAATTAATGAGGATTATCATGTTTGGGGGGAAAAACTGATCTAATTTAATACATGATCTCAAATCTTCTGCTTCAAAGTTTTATTGGATTTCTTGAAATATTACCACAGTGCAGTTCAGGACAAATGTCTGCGTTATGTATATTTAGTGGGGCTGCAACTAACGATTATTTTGCAAATCAAATAATCTGTTCATTATTTTTTCAATTAATCGGTAATCGATTAATAATCGGATAGCAAAAGGTACCAAAAACAAAAGAAGATATTTTACAAAATTAAACCAGGTGAAACTAAAACTAAACTAAAACGTTTCCACTTGAGGAGTTCTGGATAGAGCACATTGACAGAATTTTTTTTAATATATATATAATAATAATATAACTGAACTTTATTGATCTCATATTGGAGCAGTGGGCTGCCACCGTGGGGCACCCGGGGAGCAATGTGGGGCTAAGGGTCTCGCTCAGAGAGCCAGAGTGGCAGTCTGTGGGAGTGGGGCTCAAACTCAGAATCTCAGGATTCCAAGATCTATTCCTAACCACTAGGCTGCCACTCCCTATTTTATCTTAAATGCAAAATGTTCACATATTTTTTTTTAATAAATTTTGAAATGGGTTGCTCTGTCAGCTAAGTGCATGTTTGACACTCTCTATACTCCAGTTAACGATTAATTGACTACTAAATTACATGATGATTATTTCAATAAATAATCACGATTAATCTGAATAATTGTTTTAGCCGGAATATTAGTTATAACCTAAATCTTCAGTTTATTATATACCTGAATGTGTTTAACCTCACATACATCTGAAACTTGTCTGTGACACTTGTTATTTTCAGTCATGCAAAATGCATGTGTGTTTAAAAATAATACTAATTGCTTTGCTGGTTGCTTTGAGTTTATTGTTATAGTTGTTCTAGTTATCTGAGATTAATCTCAGCTAAGATCACCAGACCTCCCCTTTTCAGCCCTGTTTCATTAGTCCTCACCAGCTACAAACTTTTGGATCCACACTGAGACTTCTACCCTGGAAAAAAAATACAATTTATAATCACAACTCTCGTAGAATTTGTACAAAAATGATCTTAACCAACTAATGACCATGA